AACAACATACTAATGTGGCTTAAAGCCCACAGGAGTCAGATTTGTGTAATAAACAACCTTTAAACATCTCATATTTTGCCCTTTTACAGAATATGTGTCAATAAAAAATACGCAATTTAATCAATTAATGAAGTAATTGTTAGTAGCAGCCATTTTTTAAACCTACTAACCATTATCACATTTTGGATAAACTCATTTGCGTCCAGCATTATGGTTATATTGGGCATATAAAACTACAAGCCCGCATAAAGTCTCCTACTATATTAGCTTACATCATTCATTTGCAGAGCTGTATGTGCATATGTATTCAGGTGCTGTGTTTGCATGCTCTCCTGTTCTATTAGTGTGACCTGGCCTCGGGAGCAGCGGCAGCAGCCAACAGCAGTGCAGTGATAAAGAAACGATGTGTTGTGCAAATCTGGCTGCTTACGCTTTGGGCCTGCAGCAAAAACACTCCACTCAGCAACTTTGTGTGGTTGTGGACATACTCGCAGGGCTTCTCCTCCTGCCCACTTCTGTCTAGTTTTAAATATATATGTCTTATGTGTAAATCTGCCTCTCCCTCAGGTGGTGACAGGTTAAGGCACTCCTCTGTCTTTATTAAAACCCCTCCGCGCCCTCCATTCCAACTCGGACCCCCTTCCAATTCACCCTTCCCTCTCTCCCTCCCTTACTCTCCCTCCTTGGGTCTTATCTTAGCTCCGGCGCAGGCAGACGGGACAGGCCACTGGCTGATAGCGATTGTTTATCCCGCTGTGCGAAATTGCTGATCTGTCTTGTGCTTTTCCCTGACAGCGAGATGCTCATCGTTTTTTGCTCTGTCTTTCTCTCCCTCTCCTCTGCCCCACAGATACAGATATTGGCACCTATCAGTACTACGATAAAGGAGAGCCAGGTAAATAGTGTTTATATTGGATGTCTGTTTGTGGTAAAGATAACTGGTATTTGTCTTGTTTTTGCAGTGTATGTATATTTTCTTATAGGAGGAAGGGATTTTGGTAGCAACTATATTACTTACACATATTACTGCTGCTATACAGCTTCTTGTCCCCCACACTGGACATTGCCAATATACACTTAGACTGTTAATATGTGGGATTAGAACCTTAAACCTTTAAATACACATTCCACACATTGGTTATTATTAGTCCTGTCTGCCCGTCTATCTCTTCTGCCTGTATTCGTGTTGACCTGAGGTCCTGCTACACAGCGATAGGAAAACTAAACTGTTGACTTTTGCCTAGATCACATAGCACAAGGCCCCATGTAGTCCAGCCTCATATTGCCTCGGGCTGAAGGTTTCTCTTACCATCAGGAAACCTGCTCATAGTACTCCAGTCTGATCCACTGTGAAGAGATGGGCCTCTTTCGCTTGTTGGATCTATAGACCACTTTATTTGATCTTCACTGGCACAATCACAGACACTACATCATAGTCCATACAGAAAATTTGCTGTTTTAGTGTATTTCACACAGTATACTTTATAGTTAAAATGGTAGTGTTCCATCTACGAGAAAAAAATCTATTTATGCATATTCTTCTATAATCCTTTTTTTCCAAATCTTATTTTGTTGTACAGTGTTTCTGTACCTCCTCTCACTGCGCCTGTATTTCATCATGTGGTTCTCTCCCTCGCCTCTCATCTGAGAAGATACCTTCTCTTTCATTTCAATCTTCACAAGAGAGACGATGCTCTCGCTCCAAATCCTTTCATTTGGAGGATTACTAAAGTGTGGCTTGATATCAGAGTAGAGCAGGGAGGGGGAGCCACAGACAAGGGGAGCTGAATCACTATCCAAAAGTATCCTAATACTTCACACTGGAGCTTGGGTCAGGGCCACACCAGAGATTACAGTACACTCCACGTCTGACTTGTGTGGTTAGAATCATGCTATGACATGTAGCTTTAGAAAGTCTCTGTGTGTGTTTGTAGGGAGAGGCTTCATGACAGTATTACCATGTGTGTGTTTCTTTTGAATTTGTGCAGAGTTATGTCATATAGTTTTATTTGTATTTATTTTGAAAAAAAAATTGTAAGAAAAATTTTTTATTTTATTTTTTGTCTTGGATAGGTCCTAACTGTGCTGTAGCTATAGAAAGACAATTTTGTTATACAAGAGAAACTGCTTCAATTAAATAAGAAATAATTCTTTTTGTAACCACTAGAGGGAGACCCAAGCTCATCTGAGTGACTCTAGGGGTGCCCTGCAGCCAGGCCCCCTGGCTGAGGAGCAGGTGCCCATGTCTGGGCCTGTCTGGCCTCTTATCTGATTAATACTACTAATCCTGGAGCTGCTCCTGCCTGCCAGAGAGCCTAGCGCCACACTGGCCACTTTCTTGCCTCAGGCATCTGGGCCATGACGCTTGGTTTTAGGTTGCATTGTGCCAACACACGCTTTTGGAGTTGCTAGGATGTTTGAGCTCTAGATGAAATCACTGCCCACTTCCTCTTTTGTGCAAGTTACACACTCATTAAATGTCTGGCTTTTTTGTTGCAGCTGGCCCACTTGAGCATCACTATTACAATGAGAAACAGCATTTCTGTGAAGGTGAGTTAGCAGCTGATGGCCCTCTCCCAGATAATTGAGTAGATCTTATAAGAAGGTTGAAGTAGTGGCCGTCTCCCACTGAATGACCATCTTGTGTAAACGACTCTTCTCAGCAGTCAACTGTACCATCTCTCCCTCTCGTGCTTCTTTCCCTGATTGTCACCCAGTAGTGGAATACAAACAGCCTTATCAGGAGACGAACACTCACCCCCACAACCACACACATAGTCCATCGCTTATTTGCATGCATCTGTTTACCTCCCCTTCCCACTCATTCTTAATGGAGAACCCTTTTTAATAGTTTGTTTCAGTTGAGATCAAAAGGCAGGCAGGCAAATAAACAGATAGCAGTGTGATTGTGTAGTGAAAACAGCAGACCTCCTCCACATTTTCCTCTCCCACTGAAAGTATAAACCAAGAAGCAGATGCACAAATTCAATTAGCTCTTTTAAAAGCCTCTCCTTTCCTCCCGTGGTGTAATCACTAGAGATTCATGCAGTGACGGGTGGCTGTGAAATTAAAATGCATGTGAAAGATATGTGCTAACTGCAAGGTTGCATTTGGTAGATAACTTTGGTCCTAAACTCTTTGCTTTTAAATTTCCATTTGCAATTTTCAAAGTATGATTCTCAGTCACATGTTTCCTTGAAAGTCATGATCTTTATAATTCACAATAAATAAGAATGGTATGAAATTGTATGTGTTATTATTATTACTTTTTTAAACTTGTTTATAATATGTGAATAATTTCTTGATTTTCACAGTCCTAACCTTCTAAAAATGTTATTTGTTCTTTGTAGCTCGAGGTCTTGCATGGATCCCTAGAAATCACAGACCTGAGAAGCTTCGTGATTCGCTGAAAGAGTTGGAGGTACACGCCCCCTCTCTTAACCTCCCAGGGACCCCCTCCCTTCCACCTTCATCGTCTTTCCCTCTCGGGGGAGTTTGGGAGTTTTCCCTTTCCGAAACGGCCGATTGATTAACAAATAAGGGCATTCTCTCTCTATTCTCCCTCTCTCTCCACTCGCGATGTCATTTCTCGTTTGTTCTCTTTTCTCCCTGTGCTCTCTCATCACCTCTCTTTCGGCCTGGCTCTGTCATCGAGGGGGATATTTGAGGGGATCAGGGTCTACAGACTGCCCCTCATCCTTCCTCCCTTCCTCTCTTCCTCTTCTTCGCCTCAGAACTTGTGGAAGTACAGACCAAGCTTTGTTTTGCCAGGACCTGTCTGTTCCACGAGAATGCATGCACATAGACAACATTAGCCGTCCATGCACCTCCCTCCTGTCACCCATAACTATTGTCTGAAACTAGAAACACCCCGACTCACCTCCACACCCACACTCCTTCCCTCTCTCCTCCCATCCAATCACCCCAGCTGGGCCTGGAATGTGCCTAGAATGAGTGACCTTACGTACACACACACACACACACACTACACACTACACACCACTTGCATGTCCTTTAATCTCCTTTCTCTCCATAACATAATTATTTTGTAAAAGAATCAAATCTAACTCTGCATTTCTTACATGACAGTATATGTTTTACTCCCGCCACTCTTGTCACCTTGTCCATGCAGGAACTGTTGCTGACCAGCACCTGCATTCACACCAGATGGAGAAGCAAGCACTGTTGCCAGGTACACACCCCTCTAAAGCCGCTGATGCAGATAAACAGGGCCTTTTGGTGTCCAAAAGTGACTCACTATTCTATTTATATTTATTTTGAATATTTAGCCAAGAAAAAGTAATGATAATTGTTAATAATTATATACAGAGTATACCTCAGTATCCTATACAGATTTTACTCTGAGATGCAGAGGCTGTATTAGCACTAATAAATGAGTGGTTGCAGGTCTTAGAACTGAATTTTTTTGTACACTGTTCTTTGGTGATAGTGTGATCAATCAATGATAAAATATTACCACTTTATTTGTGCAGTTGATGCTGAGCAATGGGATTTTGATAACGCTATCACTGAATGGACCTCAGTTGGAACAAATATGTGTGGACCGCACATTAGTTGGACGACTTCCAGGCAACACTGTAACTGATGGTTTGTTAAAATTTCTTTCTATTTCAAAAGCATGAATTTACCTTATTCAGTATGTGCCCAGTCTTTATGGTCTTCTTCTACCAGTGAAACTAATGAACTCTGATGTATTACCACTATGACTGTTACAATACTACAATGTACTGCCTTCTTTTGTTGTTCTTCATAAAAGCCCTGAATGAAATTATGGTGCAAATATTTCAGAGGATGTACTAACACAGTAAGAAGATTTAGGAATAAAAAAATCTAATCATCGTTTTTATGTTTTTTTGTTTTTTTTTCTCACATGGCCTGGATACCCATGTCTGCCCACGGTCATCCACACAGACAGGACTCAACATTTACATTCAAGTATTTGAAAACCGCAAAATGGTCGACCACGCACTTTCTGTCACACTGTCAGCACAAACTACATGCTCAGTCTGACATCTCATGCATTTACAGACACTCACAGCTTTTTCTACTTTGTCACACAATCTCTTTCAATTGAGCACAAACATAACAGGTGCCACAGGTGAGCACTGCAACTTTGGCGGCTAATTGTGGGCAAATCCTTTTGTGCTGTGTGCGTCCAGGGGCCTTCCCTTAAGAGCATCCATCAGTGTTTTTCCTCCATTGTGCATTCCTCCAGGGACTACCACCTCCCCACACTTCCTTGCCTTTGCTCTGCAGCTCTGGCAAGAGTGAATAAGGGGCCGTGGACACCAGCCCAAATCTGCTAATTATTTCTTTCTCTCTGTATCAATTATTTGCCCATAACACCGCCCTATTCCCTTCTACTCAGGTCTCCAGACACCTGATAAAGCCCTGCAGTGTACTCTCCCTGTGCACACACTCATTTGTCCATTTGTTCTAACACATGTAATTACAACACACAATCTTTTTCAGGGTCAGATCCCGGCACTTACAGTAATGTGTGTCCACACATATGCACACAGTCACAAATACACAGGGTCACACACACTCAGCCAGGTACACACAGCACTCGTCTCCCGCTGTGCGCCATTCAAAGCCTCGGAGGCACTAATTATTAGAGTAATGGGTGTGAGAGGGTGGGTTCCGGGGATTTTGTGTGTGTCAGGGGTGTAAGTTAGAGGCTGTTCTAACATCTGTCACTTGTTAAATTAGCTCAGACAATTATAATAGCAAGTCACAAGCTATATCACACCATCAAACACATTTAAAACATCTAATTACCCTGTATAAAGTTACAATGTAATTGTGACTTATGTCAGACTGTGTGTGGCTTTGGGACTTTTGCTGAGTGAGTAGCCAATGCTGCTTTTATTTTTGGAATTCACAGTTTTAGTATAAACTTTGATTCACACGTGACCAAAGTTTAATGTTGGCGTCAACTAAATTTCACTTACACTGAACTGAATATATGCTGGCAAAGTATTTGTCTCAGACTACTAAAACTGGTATCAATGGTGGTTGTTTTGTCTTCTGAGACAATGCAGGCCTATGGCTTCACACTGCAGAATATAATAGATGCCATGCTTTCATCATACCAATTTTTAGATTACATGTACTTTACACCATCAAAGTATTACAAGCTTCCATCGGTTGATGACGAGACTAAGCTGAGCATATGCTCCACGATTAAGCATCCTTAAGTGATTTTTCGTAGCTGGTTTCATTTACCCACGTTTAAAATGTGCTTTGGTTAAGCCTATTGGCCTCTTATGTCAACATGCTGCTGAGGAGATGGCATTAAATGGATTTAGTAGAATGTGTATGAGAGAGGGACTGTGAGCGCCACTAGTTTGTTTCATGCGTGTGGTTTTGAATACATATATGTGACTGTGTTGCTAACAGTGCATGCATAAGACATGGTTCAGAGCTGACATTCATAGTAGCATACATGACATCTGTGCAGTTTCTCTTGCAGTAAGTACACATATACACACAATGGGCGTGTGTATGTGTCAGAGGGGTGCATTGAGGTTTTGGGCTGGGTCAGGAAGGTCTGGCCCTTAATACCAACCCTGCCACCTGCTTCAGTGTTGGGCCAGTCTGTTTTCATATCCACTCCTTCATTTGGGAATGAATAGGATTAAATGTAATCCTGTTTATAGACACCCATAGAGATCAATACTAAACTGCATTTAACTTGATTTGTCTGTAATCTACCACAAAGACGCTTACTATTGCATTAAACCTTGTATGGAAAAGCCAAGACTTTGTTAATAATTTTTTGTCATAGTTTGGGAACTGAAGCATTTTTTTCTTTTAATGCTCTATAATCCAACTTGGTATTTGGGACAGATTTTATTGAGTTAACCTGATTTTAAGATGCGAGTACAATAGTAGTTTGAATCAATTTGAAGTGTAATCATACTTGTACTAGCTGGTAGTTATAAATACTCACACACACCACCATAGCTAATTGCTGGTTAGATTTCTAAATCTCGGGGTGCAGCCTTTCTCGCTCAACTCAAAGCGAAATATCTGAGAGACATGTGTAATACCCCCCTTTCCATTTAATTGGCTTCATAAACAGATTAATTTTGAAGGAGAGGAGCTTAATTGCTAATCAGCGTCTCCATGCAGCTTGTGAAGAGTTGAACAGGATCAAGTGTTTTCTTCTTTCAGAAGACCTCAGAGCCTTCACTATGAGGGGAAAGTAAGAGATGGAGTATAGAAAAAAGATTGTAAAAGTGAAGGATGAACGGAGCGATGAGGGAGAAATGGAAAGCGTGAGTTATTTGCTTTAACTACTGCATCTTTGCTAATGTCATCAACAGCTGTGATTATGTTTTTGCAGCGGTCGTCACTGATAGGCTGATTCTGCTGTCCTTCCTGGAGAAAAGCCAGCTGTGTCTAGTGTACATCAACAAGAAGAACCTCACCTCATCAGACACTGTCCGAAAAGCAGAGAAACTTTCCCCCTCTGAAATCAAGGTAATCAGAAAGTCTACTAAACTAAACTAGAGTTGATTCCTTAATTGACAGAAGGATAATAAAGCAGTGTCCTTAAATTCCTTTTCCAAAGCAAGACGTCTCTGTGTCCTCAATGATCAGCTAGCTAAATGCTAACCTTGGCATTATCACATTACTGCCAGACCCTTTTGTTAAAGTGTGTGCGTGGTGTGGGTTTGTGTAAAAGCAATCGTTCCTGCCGTGAGTCTGTTTCCAGCACGGCTCTGATAAGACACACACTCTCCTTTTGCCTCACACGGACACACACACATATACACGCACACACACACACACATGCATTGAGCCACCACCCAGTGATACACGCCACACGCATGCACTGCACCTTACACATATGTCCGGACACACATGGTACTGCCCATCCCCCCGCACACTCACACCCAGATTGCCCTGGTCCACTGGGCTAAGCTGGAGAAGGGAAAGTGGGGGGTGTTGGGAGGCTAAACTAATCCGGCCCACAGAAAGTGGTTTTTGATTATTGCTGACCAGCAAACGCCAGCAGAAAAAACTAGAAGAGGCAAGAGATGGCAGTGAGGGATGGAAGGATGGAGGAGAGTAGCAGCGATAGAGTGTGTTATTAACCCGCTGATTTCAGATTCTTTGCCTTTTCATTTGTAATCTGTCACTGATCTCTCCGTTTGGCTTTGGGGGCAACGCTTTGTTCCCTTTATCATCATATATCCTTCCATCTTTTTATTCCTGTCTGTATTTTGGCTCCAAATCAAATCCCCCTTCCCCTCACTCCTCCACTAAAGTGTTAGTAGGGCAGACATGGATCAGTGAGCCTCAAATTTACTGTATTCATACAGTGCAGGTTGTCAATGTAATATTTTTGCATTGGCTTTAAAATCGATTTTAGTTCCAAGAGTCTGGTTTTTACAACTCACCTTTTAATTTCAAATGAGATGTTTTTTATATCTCAAGTACTACATTTAAAATTTATAATCTGTGTTTATACCACCGTGGCTAGTGGCTACAGTGTCATATTCTAAGTTCATTGTTCACATTTTTCTTTCGAATGACTTGATCTGTATTATATGACTTGATTATATTTTCTTGCATTTGGTCTTGTGAATATGTCTGCTGATAATACATGCATAGACCTCCAGATTTGGGAGTTTGTATTGACAATGACATACACAAGAAGACAAAATGTGAATAAGCGGGAGTGGACATAAGACCGGGTCACACTTGAAGACTTGCAAATTGACTTTGTTTAAAATGATTTCCATAGAGTGGCCTTTGTGAATGTGTGTGCTGCGTCTGTATGTATGTATTGCATGTACAGTTTCCCTTTATCTCTCCCTTTGTTGTTGTCTTATGTGCATGTTTGTGTGTACCCCCCTTCCCCACATCAACCCAAGTGCCACGAGAGCTCATTACTGTGTGTCTCTGTGTTGTGGCCTGTAGAGCGTGGCAGACCTTCCCAAAAAATATGCACATTGCTAAAACAAAAAGCCCCACAGTACAAAACACATACAAGGACATTAATAATAGAAGATCAAAAACAACCGTAGACAACAACATAGTGAAGTAGATTGGGGAAGGACGTTGAATTTGGGCAACAGATAGTTTCAGGGTGTGTGAAGTCTCAGTTGGGTCAATCAGTGAGTTTTTCAGTAAGTACTTTATATTGCCTTACTCATAAGAAATGGTTGTTTATTATTACCACTAGCACAGATCTTTGCTATCAGCTGTTTTTAATCTCATGTCCAGCTTTTCTGTGTGGAGCTGAGTGGCCAGGGGCGTAGGCTACACCGACGCGTCGCTCTCAATCACCAGCAGGATGTGGCCCTGTGTTGGTGGAGCCAGGAGGAGACTGAAGAGGAGCTGTGGCCATGGGGTCCCACAGAAGCACATACGAACAACCTGGTTCTGCTCAACTGTTCACCCACCGAGGGTCTCAAGGTGAGCAACAAAGCCTCAAAATATAACATAGATTTTTAGTGGTACAAAAAATCATAATAATTTTAAAATTCACTCCAAACAAGAGTGAATTACATAATTTTCTTACATTACCATTGTAACATCCTTCAAATATGTTACCACCTTTATAGAAAACTTCTGAATGACAAGTAAAGTTACAGTGGCATAAACAGTCTGCTAAAAAAAATCTTTAACTTAAAGGTACACTGTGTAACTTTCTAGTGAGAGTCCACTAATGTGAGATATTATTTTTTCGCCTAGAATGTTCCTCACTATGGCATTTAATGTGTTCATCTTGAATTTAATCAATTGCACGTGTATTTATTGCTGAGAATGATGCCTTGAAACGCATGCATTCTTACAGTGAGCAGGGTCACCGCTTCGCAGATCTGACCTGTAACTTAGCTTAGTGGCGTCACCTAATTTTTTCCACAGAGATAGATATGTTTAATGTCATATTGTTACAAGCACAGCAATAACTTCTCCATGAAAATAAGCAGGTGACAGACCCACCATCAGAACAGTTTTTTGGAGTTTTAGATTAACTTTTGACATATTTTTGCTTCTAAAACTCTCACAAAAAACATTTATAGTTAGTCCTTACCACTGTAATGTGACTTGAATAATCACAGTTCTCGATTAAACAAATAATCACAATATTCCAACTCTAAACAGAGCAATTATTCAACTCAAAGTGTGTGAATCTTGTGAACAAGTTCTCATAGATCAACCTTTAGCCATGAAGAGGAGCTGCACTGCTGATTGGGTTTTAGAGGTGGTATATCATTAATTTTAAATTAAGAAAGTGCAAAATAAGCACAGTCACAGTATAGCATGTAAAAAATATGAACACGATACGATTTTGATATTTGTCGATTTGTAATTAAAAAAACAGACTGTGTTAATAAGTTTCTATATTATTGACTATTTATGACAACTGATTTTATGTATTATTTTTATTAAGAGCTGCACAGATTTGGTAGCATTAGTATGTATATTGGTTTCAAAATGGTGGTAAATCTGTGCACTTGGTCCATTACTGAAAGTTAACCTATTAACATATCATTTAAAAACATTTTCATATCTTACCATTTCCTATTCAACATTCACAGACAAGCAGATATTCCACTGTTGATTCCCCTACACAAAAACAGGAGGTACAAGGAGCAAGTTCCATATTAGCCACTGCAAAATACTCACCACAGAAGCAGGAGAGAAAATGTTTTACGAATTGCATGCTAAGACAAGTAATTCTTCAGTTGCAAATAAGGGAGAGATGAAAAGTAGGGGGGGCTTTATGAATATTGAAATAATCAAAGCTTATGTTGTTTGCTGTTTTTCCACATCTCGCATGTTGGAACGCACTCAACATTTATCGCACTCCTTCACCGAGTTTATTCCTTCTTCTGGCCCTCTCCCTCCCACCGTTGTTTCACTCCTCCTTCCTTTCCTCCACGCTTCCAGAACATTAAAGTGTCTTTGCGGGTCTGCGCCATCGCGTGCTAATGAAAGCGTTTGTTGTCATTTTTCAGATGCGCGGTGTGAAATTAAGCGAGCAGTTTATGTAAGAGCCGTGAAGAGAATCAAACGCCAGGCACACATCGGGAGACGGCAGCTACTTCAATCACTTCAAGCTCATATATATGTTCCTTTTGTTCAGTTTGCTATCTGCCGCACTAAGCCAATTTTCTAGCCAGTCTCTCGGCATTTAAAAAAGTCTGATTTCATTCCCTATGTGGTCTTAATTCATACCCCCCTCTACTTCATGCTGATAAGTGGAGCCATGGCATGCAGGGGGTTGGAAGGTGCGAAGAAGAGAAAAACACATTTTTATGCAGCCTGTTAACATTTTTAATGATCTTTCTCCATGGTTCCCTCCTTTAACCCCACCTGCCTCATTACACACTTGCAAACACATTGATTATATGCGCCGACATTTGTGTAAAATTAAGTTGCAAATAATTTCCATTAATCAAAAATAGTTATTTTAACTACTATGACATAAACCAATGCATTTCACTTTGATTTGTTAAATTAGATGTTATTTACTGTTTACACATGGACGATTCTATGGTGTTATCTCTCACCAAACACTCGTATGCGTTCATTAGATCTACTTTCTAGTGACTGAGACATTATCATCTAAAGCAAAATTCTGCTCTTATGGCTTATAGCTTAAATGTCAAAAATTACAAATTTTTCCCTCACAATATATAGTGTTGTCACTTACAAATATACTAATACTGGAATAAAAAATACAATATTTTATATACTTTTTATTATGCATTGAGTGTTGGAATGTCTCAGTAATATTCCCATCACACCACAATTACTGTTTCTGCACAAGCACCAATTATGACAGTGGGAGAGCGTTATATTTCGAATAGTAATTTTGCTGCGACTTCTGCATTTTTTCACATCACTACAGCCACTAACCCTATTTCCCATACCTAAAAATGTCCCCCCACCACCCACTGTCCCTTCATCCCCCCACTCTCCTCTGAGTCCCTCAGTCTCTCCACCAGTCTCTCCCTGTCTTTCTCTGCTCCGTGAGCTGGAAAATTGGCTTCAAAAGGCCACTGCTGTGAACAAGGGCCAGCCACACAGTTGGGCCCGTCCGCTTTATCTTTTACGCCACGGAGGGGAAAAAAGGTGCCAGCGAGTGAGAGAGAAGAAGAATGGAAAAGAATAGTTTTGACCAGTCACTGAAACCAATAACCAGTAGAAAGCTACTTACTAGAGGCTTGTGTCTGACTGGGGCCTATTCCTACATTAACTTTATACTGCTTTTACTTGCACTCACCATGCAGGTTTGAGGTATTCCCACCTGCTAAACCACTTATTATCAACGTCCTAGTTTTCATACTTCCTGCAGACATATTTTCTCAAATTTGTCTTGTATTTAGGTCCCCGGGTGCTTTAGGGCTTAGCTGGAGAAATGTCACTGGACCCCAGCACTGTCCTGTCTCTATAATCTCATGATTAGCAATGTTTCCTTCAGGGGTTGTTTGCATCTATCCAAAAGTAAATGTACATAAAAACACAACATTGTGGCACTCAATGGCCTAGACTCCAAATGTAACTAGGTTTGACATTTCAAATGGTAAGAACTAGATTTAATGCTCCCTTTTAGATACTGTGCATTCAACACTGTACATGAATCTTTCTGAGAAACGGTATCAAAACACCCACACACAGTCAACTACTGACAGATAGGTATGACCAGTCTAACACTGGATAAAGCCTTAAAGTTATAGTTTATAGTGCATGCTGGACTGGTGTTTGCAGTAGTGTCTTGTGGTGCCTGTGTTTTCCTTTTAAGGGTCACGTATGGGAGGACAGAGCTGAATCAGCTGTGCCTCCTCCTAACGGTGCCATGGTGGCATGCTGGCACCGGGCAGCAGGCCTGAGCTGGGCAGGCGATGAAACAGCGCAGGGGATAAGATGAGGTGGAGGGTCAAACTCTGTACACCTCAAGTGTGCTTACTGTGACAGCATTCTGGACATGCTATGTTTGTGTACTATTTATTTGTGAGCTTAGTACATGTATGTGACAAATGGGAGAAATGTAGCCCTCCAGATATCTGTGCTCACCTTGTATAGCTCACACTTCACATGGGGTGCAGTCTGTCTAAAATAAACACACACAGCACCTACCCCCCAGGGAGCCACAGTAGCAGGTTGTGGGGGATTATAGAGGGGAAAAGCTTTTGGGGGACAGTCATCTGCTCCTCAACTGGTCTAGTCGATGGGCAGGAAAAGAACTTCATTCCTGCCTCTAAGTCCCCTTTTGGCCATGCCTGCCAAAATACTGGGCCGGGTAGCTTTGCGAAAGATGGATGGCAGGCAGGCAGCCGATCCCTCTTTCTGTCTACATGGCAAAAAGAAATGGGCTCATTTAGCCAAAGCTGCCATGGTCAGTGCAGGCCTCTGATAGAGGCTTTGGTAAGGTGAAATCCTCTCTAAAAGCGCTCTTACCGGCTGTGGAAGAGTTGGGCAGCTGATTTGTTTTGTATTGTCTTCCCACTGTGTTTGGTTCCATGTGGGTGTTTATCAACAGTACCACCAGTGGCATTGCCTCTCTCACTCCATGTCAACACTCACTTTGTGCCATCTCTCACTAACAGTCCTAGTGCACAAGTGAATAATCTGAATTCTTGCTCAAACAGTCATCACAATAGCTGATTTTACCTGAAATGTGTTCCATTGGGGGGCAGATTGGGCTCTATACTCAGCTTGTTTATCATATGGTTTTGGAAAATGGAAAACTCAGAGAGGAAAGGAAAAAGGGAAAAAAAAGGAAATATAGTCTGTACCAGATTTGGCTATTTTGGCTACTTCCGCCCTACAGTCTCTGTGCAGCAGTATACAGCAATATATGATTGACAACTTAGAGTAAAGTAGATTGTTTAGTTGTAATATGTGGTGGTAGAAAAAGTTTCTACCACCCACAGATAACTTCCTCTGAAACTTTTTCTACCATGGACCACTCCTGGCCCAGTGAGGGATTATGCTGACTTGTAATAAGTGGATGTTAAACTACATATTTGTTTGTGTTCCTTTCTCTAGGTTCTGAACTCCATCCACACTGAAGGCAACCCAATTGAATGCCACTTTAGTCTTCTCCAGCCTTATCAGCTCTTGACAGTAGAGCTTCCTCAAACATCCCAAACCTCAGAAGGGTCTCAGGCTGACTCCTGTGTTTATGAATGTGCTCGTGGACGACTTCACCGTCTTTCTGTCACCCATATCCCACTCCCATCCCAGCCCACCTGCTGCTCCACTCACCCCTCAGAGAGCATGCTTCTGCTGGGCTTGAAGGACTCCTCCCTGGTGCTGTACGACCAGCGGCGCCGAGTTTCTCTTCTTGCCTCTTGCCCTGTGCCCCCTGCCCTTTTGGCCTGGCATCCATCTGGTGCTATAGTGGTAGTTGGGGGAGGGCAGGATGAGGTGATGTGTTTCGATGTAGGCTTGGCTCATTTAGGCCTGACGTTGTTATCTGAAGAGATGACCTCAGCTGCCACTCTACAACTGGCCCAGCACCTGCGCTGCTCTGCCAGTCTGGCGGGACTGCACTGGGGGTCCGTGCTGGATGGAGGCCCAGAGGGGACAATGACCCTAATGTTGGCATTTCACACTGGACCTCTTGGTGTGCTGAGATTTAAATTTGGTAAGCTAAATGCTCACTAATATTTAGCGTAATCTAGATAGTATGGATACCTATTACTAGTTTACAGGCTTTAGTGGTGGGTGTTTAACCTGTTTTCCCTATAGACAAATGTATTTTCAGTTTTGACTTGTAGATGAAGCTGAATACATTTCCTTTTTGTCCTAGCAGCTTCCTTCTGAAGCAGTTTGAACTCTCCTATCTTTGTTTTGGTACCAAATGTAAATACATCAGTCCCAGACCCTCTTCCTGCAGAGGACTGAGTCAAGTTAATTTGTTGATGAGCGGCAAGGTTAGCAAGAGTCACACTCTCAGAGGTCATTCAATAATCACCCCAGGGCAAGAGCTCCCCAGGTGCTTTCTGGGATGCATTTTTCCGATAAATCATTTACAGTGGACGCACAGTCCCACGAGGGTTCTAGATAAAGTTTGCCAATCAATTTTTTCAAAGGCACTATCCACACATTTAACAGTCTGACCAAGTGACTGTATGTTTAATTGTGACTGAGTAAACAGTGATGTGTGACAGTGACCCACAGTGTGAATGCAGTTGTGAGTGGGAGGAGAGAGAAGGTAGAAGAATGTGCGCACTTAAGTGTGTGTTTGCCTGTGTGTGCAGGGAAGGGGGATGTCTTCCAACAATAGCTACCCCTCCTCTGATCGTCTGCCAAGGTTTTGATGAAGAAAGTCACTGCTCGTTGTTTTTCTGTGATAATTCTTTCTCCTGTGTGTGTATTCTTCTATTTCTGTCTCTCTGAATGCACACATACACTCTAACTTGTTTATTTGTTAGCTTGTGTTACTTTTGATACTGACTTGTTCGTAAAGCTTGCTAAATAACAGAATGGGAGAGTCGGGAGGCTGCAAGGAAGAAAGAGTTGGCTTGGCTCCAAGCTCTCTTTTTCCATAGGAGACAGGCCTCCCTGGTACACCCCACCCCCCAAGCCTCCTGCTGCAACAACTTATCTCATCTGGGCACACATTGGCCATGGCTGGGCCCGCAGTGGTGCAGGCTGGGAAATGCAAACTAGTAAACATGCTGAAAGACACATTATAAAGGACTGGTCATTATAAAAATAGTTGCAGATAGAAGTGATGTTGCTGTGATGTTTACTTAGATTCACCTCATGCACTCCCTTTGTGTGCCTGATGTCCCACACCTGCATATTAAACACAGATATATAAGCCACTCTTAGAGGATCTTTAGACGATTTAGAACCTTGCAAACTGCCAACTTGTGATTTTTCTGAAGCATTGTCTCACTATACATTAAATGTCCTGTGAAATTAATGTCAGCATTGCAACTGCTTCTATAACTGCAACATTACTTTGTATTATATAATATTTAACACAGTGTTCAATTCTTTTCTTTCAATTTTACCTGGCTTGATAGGGACTCTGTCTGGGGGCCACATGGGTCCCGAGGAGGTGCTACAGCAGAGACTGCACTGTGGTCAGGTGCAAGAGGCTCTGGGCATCCTGGAGGCCCTGGACTTTAACACTGCAGGAGACCAGTGTTTCAGAGGCCTCAGCTCCATCATCAACCACCTCCTCAGACTGCCTCTTAATATGGAGAGAGAAAGTGAGTTCAGTACAAACGCATTTACTTTTAGCTTTGGATAAATTAAACATGCAACCCTTACTACAGCAATTTTAATAGTAATAATAATAATAGTCATGCATGCATTTTATACAGTGCTTTTCGGACGCTCAAAGCCTATATTTATAATATTGTTTTTTTGAACAACAGATCTATTGACAAACATTGCCTATGAACATGACTTTCTCTGGTCAATTCTGAAGTTGTTTTTGTCTGTAGATCAGCTGGAAGCAGCCCTGGGTGTATTTTATGCTGCTCGTGCCCCTTTATGTGATACAGTGATTCTGGAGTACCGAGACCCTGTGAGCAAGTACGCCCGGCGCTTTTTTCATCACCTCCTCAGGTAACCTCCTCGCTTCCTTCAGCTGTGCACATACACTGTTTTCCCTAATTTCCTCCCTTGAGGGAAGCACTGCTTTGTGTTGTGCTTCTGTGGGAGGTCAGAGGTCAGATTTAGCTTTGGTGCGAGCCCTCCTGGAGTTTTGTACCTTTAATATGTAACATTCGCTTTCAAGTAGATTGTTTCTGAAGGTAAATCAAAACATATGCTGTGTATGTGACTTCAGATCATTGATTTGGCTCTACTTTCCACTCAAATAGACAGATTTAAGGACAATCTGTTTAAGGCATTACCAGGACCAATATTCAGTCAATACGGCTTACCACTGCTATTTTAATAAGCCTAAAAAAGCAGTGGCCTTTGAATTTAATTTCAGTACACACTCAGACACATAGAAATGCAGCTTTGAGTCATTCACAACACATGCACCTGTTTAGACTGTTGTTTCATTTTCCCTTCTGCCATGAGAGCCTTTTGAAATGGCTGTTTGACTGAAATAGACCCTGTTGTTCCCACACACTGCTGCTCACCGCTCTCCATCACGCAATTACCCACCATTCCTCCTTTTTGCAGTGTTTTTTCTTCCTCAGCCTTTGTAGCCGAGCTGCGGCGTTGTTTGGCATCCCTCCTCCTCTCCTCTCTTATCGCCTACCTGCATTCTTTTTCTCTCCATCGACATCAAATGAAGGAAGCCCCCTCCTTCTGCCCACTGCTTTTGCAAGCATTTGTTTGTTTCATGTTGGCTCCAAACTCAGAAAGTTGAGGCGTTTTGTTCAGGGACACACTGTTCACTTTTGCCAGCTTTAATTATGGATGCGAGGAAGAGGGCTTGCTATTCTCACTTCAATTATGGACTGTTCATTGGTTTGGGGTTCAGAAACAAGAGCAGAGAGGTGTGTTTATTTAGCTCTGTGGATCCTAGAAATGCACTATACAAAGATTACCTCTGATCTAAAACACATATGCTTTTTCCCTATTGTGCAGGCACCAGCGTTTTGAGAAGGCCTTCCTACTCGCTGTTGATTTGGAGGACAGAGACTTGTTTATGGTAAGTTGACAAATGGAACCAAACCAAAGAAGTCAGGCCATATTTTTATGATGCTTGAATTTTGTTGTGTAGGTAATCTTACATTTTTCATCAATCAATCCTATCAACACACCACATCTACTACACAACTCAGATAAGGCAAGGCCTTTCCACTTTAATGACCGTGCATCTAATTCTATGTGACATCTTAAAATTCCAGGATATATTTATATACTATTTTCCCAGGTTGGGCACACATTAAAATACAAAATACTTAAACAAAATAAAACAATGCAGTTATACACATTTAACACTCTCACTCATTTTCTCTCATGCAGTGTTGTGTGTTAAGTTCATTTTTTTCCTTTATATATATTTATTTGTTTTTGAAGCCTAATGTAGTGAAAAAATGCATAAGCTTAAGGAATTTTTTTTAATACGCAGATTGCATGTATAGATCAGTTAGAAAAGAACTAACATGCTACATTTGCCTGGAGTCTGCTGTGGAAAGTGTAGCACGTGTCACAAAGCAGGTGCGACCGCAGTCAGGGGCCCTATCTTTTCACTGCTTCTTTTGGCCTTAGCTTTAGCCTTTTCCTCTTCACTCATCTTCCCTCTAACCTGCTGCTCTCTCCTGCTCTCCAGCTGAAATGCTATTCTGTGTCTTTAACCCCCTTTTTTTCCGCGGGCCCCCTATTTTATTCAATGTTTCACCGACACCTAACACATTGATACAAACACGCAGACACTGGTTCCACTAAGTAGTGCTTCTGGGAAAGCAAACTGAATAGGTGGAGTCAAGCCTGTGGACCTTGAAGGAGTGCGGGGAGGCAGGGACCCATTCACACACACACTACTTTGACTTTGTGTGTGAATATATTATACTTATTCAAGCTGGCTCCATTCATGTAGGAGTCATGTTCTTTTTATCTAACTTATTATATTTCACATATTGAATCCAAAATCTTTGCGAATAATAATTGAAATTGTACAGAGTACTGTCACACTACCAGTATTGGGAAGTAAATGAATACATGTACTGAGAATACGCATTCTGAATACTAATTTGGAGTATTCTGGTACAGTTACTTTTTCATTTGGTGGTATTTAGAATATAGAATATTTTTTCTAAAATGAAAGGAATACATGGCAGTACTTAATCACTCAATCTGCTCTTGTGGTGCATGCAAGTGTAATTTTTCATTCTCTAATCAGTGATAAATAAACTGTGAAGCAAATATGAAGCTCTTTTAAATCCTATTTTGCGTGTTTACACCGTAATTTAAATGCAACTCGTTGTAAAAGTATTACACATACTGGCAAAAGAGAAATTCAATTTGTCAACTGGACAAAAGTTGTTTTTTTTTTTTGATTGAATATGTTTTGCAGCTCATTCAAGCTCCTTCTTCAGTGCTGAAGAAGCAGCTGCAATTCTACCTGGACAACTGAGGGATTTTACAAATATTCTGCATATTCAGAATACAGAACTCTGAATGGCCCATGTAACAGAATATATTACAGAATATATTTTAATTCAATATTCTGTACCTTAATACATTTTCAAAGTTTTCTTTCCATTACCAGTTAACCACATGCACAAAGGGTGTGACACATCTACAAGCTTAACTCCATTATTATGTCATTCCACATATTTTTACAGCACTGAAGCCCAGCCCCTTCAGTTATGAACTATGTGCACTGGTCCATTACATTGTCTAAACAAAAAGGACCTGAGGCAAAAGCCTAATATAATAATAAAACATAACCCTTTCTACTTACAGACTAATCTTCATTACTTTACTGTTAAATGTGCCGCATGTGACAGTCTGTATGAAGTGTGTGCACTCACTCACCAACTCAATATACCTGACTATCGTGATTTCACATTTTTTATAACCTTTGTTGGGTATAATTCCAAAAGTTATTCAAATAGATATTAAGCTACTGAACAGTGTCCCAGGCAAGAGGCATACTCCTGCAGAATAATGTAGAAATTAAGACATTTTTGAAGTTTAACTGCAATACCTTGGACTGGCTTGAGAAAGTGGAGTTTCATCAGTATGACTTTGTATGAGATTAAATATGGAATATAGAGAAATTAATTTATGTTTTTGGTTAAAACTTGTCTACCACCAAAATATAATGATTAACTCTTAATGCTAGTGTATTTGATTTAGTGAAACAATTATCCATTGCCTAAAAAATCTTGAATGTGCATTTTGCTGACCAAGTAACTTTTTAATCCAGATCTGTAACACTCTAAACCTTACAATGCTCACTTCAAACGAGCTATTTTTGCTTCAATGACCGCAGAGTGCACTGACCAAAAAAGCCAAAGGAAAAAGAAGACATTGACATTTCACCCTTTGCTCTCTGCCGTCCACTAATTAGGCTGTGTTGTTGCTTTAACCTGCTGCTTGGCTGATTGGGCCGGGGTGGAGGGGGTTAATGAGGGCAGCTCCCAGCCCTGTTAAAAACCATGTCAACTTCACTGTCTGCAAGAACTCAATAATGCACCATCGACCTGATCAAACGCACTCTAGCGCACGCATACAGACCCTTACCGATAACGTGCACACCTTCACCTCCGCCCAGCATGATACACCCCCAGCGCGAACCCCAGCCCCCCACCTCTCCCTTTACCCCATTGTTTCCATGCTAACAATAGAAGCCCTCCAAGCCCTTTACAAATAACAAACCTTTTGTTCAAGTGAAACACTTTAGTGTCAGGCTAAATTGAGGGGGAGGAGGAACTCGTGGCTGTGGGGGTGCGGTGGGGGGGTGGTCTCGTTGAAGGTAGGGGGTAAGTGAGTCGTTTGCATTTTTTTCTATAATTAAAGCTGTTCGGTGGCACCCTAATTAGTCTTTGATAATGAGTTGATAATGTAACCAATTAGGTCATTCGTCACTCATGACAATTTATTTTTCACCTCCCACTTTTTTTTTTTCACTTTATTCGTGTGTTTTGCTCTTGAGTAGCTTGTTAATTAAATCAAATAGTGTCATAGTGCAGTTCAGCATCTGCTCTTTTTACTGTTTCTTGTCAGATATAGCAATAATAAAGACTGCTGTGTCTAACACTTTCAGCCCATATCTTCTGTGCCAATCTGATGCCACAGGACATACAGACTGTAATAAGCTCATTGTTGTTGTTAACCTGTCTAATTAGTCTTATTATTATTATTAATCTGATAAAAGTATATAACAGATGTGCAGTATGTCCTGGGATTACACTGTACCACTGCTGATTAATGTAGATTTTTGCTATTGATTATTCAGCATTTTACTGTTGAGTATAGCAACGCATAGGTCAAATCATATCCCCTTTGTGTCCTAGAAATTGCAGCGTTACAATACATGTGATTACTGCTCATGTACACATTAAAGTGGCAGGTTTTCAATAATGTAAAAGGACAGCACTTTAAAAGCATTTGAAAGCCATGAATCAGATTGCTCAACATTTGATCTTGTCTGAGTGAATCTAGATCCTTAGCACAGAAAATCCATCTCATGTAGTTGATAATATGCTGTAAATGGCATTACATGATGTATAGACCTTAATCCTGTACGTTTGGCTCCATGCGTTGTTGAGCTCTATACTTCCTGTATTGAGATTATTTGACAGCCCAATATGCCGGACTGTGCACGCGCTGCATACACAGACCTGTCTATTGATGTGCGGCCACTTTGTACCCGTTAAACTAATCCCTCATTTATTGGAGGAAGCCCAAATATCAGTCAATATCAGGCTCTCAGTGTCCACCTCACCCCCTCCCTCCCTCAGAGTCCCACTGACGGCCTCTTTATAGGTGCAGTTAGCTGGCGTGCTGCAACCCCTAAAGCTCTTATATAAATAAGATTAGTGTCGCATTTGAGCGTCAGGGAATAAGAGGTGTAATATCTGATGGTTTTATATGCACTATTATTGTTATCCCTTCTTAGTCGGCCTGATACCCTCTCTCTCCCTCTCCTTACATTCGCTCGTTCGTTTATTCTTTGGCTGCCTCTCTCTCTCCTGATTCAGACAGTATTATGAGGAGCTAAGCTGTAATGTGGCAGCCTGCATCAGATGTTCATATTGTTTTCGCCTGTCTGTCATTTATTCTCGCTCATGAGAAAAGCTTTATACATTTACTGGTCTTTTATGAATACTTCCAACTACTGCTGTCACATTTTCATTTCATGTCACATTTTGCTACCTTTTAATGGAATTCTGCTCTATTTGTTATCAATTAGAAAGCCTCACTCATCTCTCATTGAGGGGCCATGTCCTTGTTCACTGGGGCTGAATTAGCCAGCTAAGTTCTTGGAGCCGATTTAGCTTCTTTTGAGGCCATTTTGTTGTGTGCCATTTTCACATTTCCTCCTAACTCTTCGCCACAGAGGCCAGGCTCCGCACTATAATTACCCAATCTGTTCCTATTCACACTCTTCAATTTCTGGCCCTCTTTCTCTCATTCGCTCCCACTCCCCCTTTTTGGAACCTCAATCTCTCACTGGTCCCCACCTCTTTTGGTAGGTAGCACCCCCTTTTGTGCCTCTGGGGGTACAAAAGCTGAGTTACAATATGGGGTATTAGGGCCGGGTGCAGGCCCAGCTGGGGGCTGGCTTTAGCCAGCTGAGGGTTATCCACGGCGAGCCCTGAGTCATGGCACTGATGTCCTGTGATGTCGCTGAGGCGGAAGACTTTGCTTAACGCGCTGTACCCTTTGATGGGCCCTCAGGCCCTGCATTCAGCCCTAGAGCCCCTTGTTGTGCTTAGGGATTGGAAAGCACCAGTTCAATCAATTTAGAGTGATCCCAAAACTAAGAAATATTTTTTACAACTTCCTAAAATCTTCTAATCTCCCACAATTTAGATTTGTATCACAAAAGTCATTTTTCAGTTGTAATAACATGATGTAAATTGTTGCCACTGGTTGTATTTAGAACCATATCTTATTATTATGGACTTTTAAGTTCTGTAAGTACAGTCTGTAAGTACAGTCTGTAAGTACAGTCTTGAGTTGACTTAAGGCTCTTAAGGCCCACATCAGAGCAGTTGACTGTGGTGAGGTTATTAATAAACACTAGTGTAGCCTTGAGCTTAAATGAAGGACCCTCAGACATCATTTAGAAATATTATCTCTGTTCACGGCTGTGTGAGACAGACAGAGATACAGAGCATACATACTGTTTCTAATATTGTCCCAGGCTTGTGTCATAATGTGCTTGGCTGGATACGTCTCTGCAGCAAGAGAATGCAAACGTTTTTAAAAGGTGACCAGTTTTCCGCCTCCTCTGCCGTTTTTGAAATGTGGCAGATAACATCCTCCCAGTTCAAAACGAGAGACGCGGCCGAGCGGGGGTGCCAGAGCAGGCTGATTTCAAAGTTTTTTTGAGGAAACGGCATTTCATCCAACCGGTGGTCTTTCTGATGTCAGCCTTCAAACGGCTCATTTTTTATTTCATCTGTTTCCTCCTTCTCCCTCTAAACACTGCCCCCCACTCCTCCAAAAAAACTATTGTCATTGGAGCCTAGATTCATTTTAGATTAACTTTCACATTCCTTTCTTTCTTCCATTACCTTCAAAGGACCTCCATTATGTCGCCAGCGATAAGGGTGAGGTGGTGCTTGCAGATGTGTCCAGGAGGAAAGCTAATGAAATCGAGGCCCGGGTCGACGCAGGTAAGAAAATCATGATTAACCACCAAAAAAAGTCTCGTTGTTCCCTCTTATATCTCAAATGTGTGCCGGACATTTGATAACCTTGCTAAATCCGGCAGTGACACCAACCGATCACATTTGACGCTGAACTTTAAATATCCTTTTTTGAAACTTTGAATTAATAAATGTGACCAGGAAGTCTGCATAGGGCTAGTTTTTTGTCATTACCAGGGGCTCTAGTGCTGCCCTTTGACAAACCCTCCTTAAAGTACATACCAGAGAGGATCAGGGCGAGTGTGTGTTTCTTGCACACACTATTACACACAAGTGCTCAGAGGGCAGACATGGGAGCATTTGAATTTGCCAGCGATTGAGATGAACATGTCTTTGAGTCCTTCATTGGTGTTTAAAACTGACCGCCGGGCTCTGTGCTTGCGCCAGGGTTTGCAAATGAAGCAAGAGAGAGGTATTTAACTCCACTGTATAAGGTCAAGCCCCCGAGGCAGCCCGCATGTTTGTGGCAGAATGTAAATAAGTGTTGGAGGAACTGCAAGGGCCCTCTCTATGCATGCAGGTGTTTTTAGGACTAATGGAACAGGCACGCTTCCCTCATAAGCCTCTTAATTATGTCCTTGATGATTTAGCCCCATCACCTGCAGCATGTCCTATCCTTGGACTGCAGCAGAGGAGCAGCGGCGGCGCGAAAACAGGAAGGAGGTGGGAAGATGGGACATAAGGAGGAATGACAGACAGAAGTGGAGGTTAAAACAATGAAAGGAAGCAAAGAAAGTAGGTAGATTGAAAGTTGAATCAAAGAAAATGATATAAAAAAGTAAGAAAGGATTGGAAACTTGCCTGAGGAGAGGGCAGACCTATGCTAATGCACAGCAGCACTGTTACTCAAACTAAACCAGAGATCTTTTTTGTTTCAATTCACAAAGCAATTAGCAATACTTAGGGGTGTCAAATTATTGCATTAATTGTGATTAATTAATTACAGTCATATTTATTGCGTTATGTTTTTTAATCGCGTTAATCTCATTTTTAATCTCTAACTTTACTGTTTCTGTATGCAAGTTGCTTTATTATAAAACCTGTTTTTATGTGTTGTTGGGACAACAACAACACACACACACAAAAAACAAAAAACTATTTTTTTTATTTCGGTAATTCCACTCATTGCCTGAAACCCACACAAAACGCGCGCAGTAAAAGCGATGTAAACGTCATGTTAAGGTTGGCGGCGTCAGTCGCACAATGGACGAGGTGGAAGAGCCAGTAGAACAGAGGCAGCAGTGCACAGGTAAAAACACATTCGTGTCTTGGAAATTATTCTCCCGACGTGAAATATAAAAGAAAATAACAAATATAAAATCGCCTACAACTTAAATGTCACTGGTGAAAACAACCTGCATAGACTGATGTCTGCACTACTGTCCTATAGTGACCTGCCACATGAGGGGACACGCACACAAACACACACAAACACAAACACACACCTTCATCATCGTCATTAACCTGAGAACGCGCGGACCACGTTTCCTTCCGTAGTTACTGCGCGGACACCGACGTGCTCCCGTGAGCCGTGTGTGGATCGTGTTTTCTCGCGTACGGTTCCTCCTGTGCGCCTCTAAACCAGGACTAATCCAGTCCAGGACTAAACCAGGACTAAACCAGGTCTAAACCAGGACTAATCCAGGACTAAACCAGAACTTAAACCAGGACTAAACCAGGACTAAACCAGAACTTAAACCAGGACTAAACCAGGACTAAACCAGAACTAAAATCAGAACTAAAATCAGAACTAAAATCAGAACTAAAATCAGAACTAAAACCAGAACTAAAACCAGGACTAAACCAGGACTAAACCAGAACTAAAATCAGAACTAAAACCAGAACTAAAACCAGAACTAAAACCAGGTTTAAACCAGGTCTAAAACAGGACTAAACCAGGACTAAACCAGAACTAACACCAGGACTAAAACCAGGATTAATCCATTCCAGGACTAAACTAGGACTAAAGTAGGACTAAAGCAGGTCTAAACCAGGACTAAAAGCAGGACTAAAACCAGTGATCTCATATATATTTCTCTATCAATAATATTTTTAATATGGTTAAGGAAAGACTGGACTTTTTATTGTCTTTAAGTAAACAAAAGATTTTCTCGTCTTTGCTACTTTACAGCAAACAGTTTCTTATTCATGGAGACTTGGGCTCAACAGCCAAATTGGAGAGATTTGTTAAACAATAAATGACTTCATAAAGTCACTTTTTTAAATCTATATCAGTCTTTTGATCTGCCACAATAATGTAATAATGAATTTAAATGAAAATACCTCAAATTGAAGGCTTTTCTCAGCAATTTTCAGGTGAGATTAAAATGAGATTAAAAAAATTGAGAGATTAATTAATTATGATCTGTAATTAATTAATCTCTCAATTTTTTTATCGCATGACAACACTAGCAATACTATGTGCAACATCTCAAAATAATAAATAAATAAATAATATCATATTTTGTGCACCAGCATTTAATGAAGAATTTTAAAATCCAATGTCATTATGAGGTTAACTGACTACTCAACTAAAATAATAATCTTTTCTGGTGGAGTATCTGGCACCTGCTTGTCACCATACAGATATTATAGCTTTGACTGGAATGTTCCACAGTATGGCATTAAAGTTCGTTATTTTACAGCATTTATTTAATTACAGGTGTTTCTAGTATAATAATTCTTCTTCCCTATTGTGAGCAGGGTTGCCGCTCTGCAAATTTGTATCTTGGCCCCTGTCACCACCTGTATCCACGAAGATACCGGTAGATAAATTTAATGCCATACTGTTGAACATTGCAGGCAAAGAATAGCATCACCTTTAGAGACCAGCAGAAAAGTTTCATAGTGTATCTTTAAGTAATATCCTCTGTGTGTTCTGATGTGAGCAGATTTGTGGTATATGCGGTGTGGACACATGGAACACTTTATCTCAGTGAAAAAGACAAGTCATGAATAATGAGTGGTTCCTGTCAGGCTCAGGCCTCCAGTGAACAGGTGTCTCACTTTACACATTATTGGACTGGCGTTAATGCATCTAGTTATACAAAAGGAAGCAGGTATCTAGGAAAAACCACTGATGTGTCAATAGACCAGTAACCCCTGGAGACATGCTTGCGTTGATGCGTTTTCTCTCACTGCTCTCTTGTGCTGGACGCCTTTTGGGTGGGAACTGTTTGGAGCGGTCTGTATCCTGCATGAACACAGTCGTCAAACTAGAGCTAGTCATGAGCAAGCAAACAAAACCAAATCCACACACAGTTAGAAGGCAAATAGGGCGCCACCTTCAGCGGTATCCTGGTGTCTTCTTCCTGAAACAATGGAGCAACTTCATGTCAGTGTCATGAGACAAGCAAACAAAAGGGAAAACGCAAATATATGTGACAAAGGTTCAATTGTACCTGCACTACTACAACAGGTGAGAAAAGAGAGGACTGCAACTGTCACTCTGAAACAACAGCCTATTACACTGAACATCCAAAATAATGTATTGCTTAAAAATGGTGTATCAAAGTATTTATGTAAAAAATCATCTAAAACCGCTACTGCTATTGCTGGTGCGACCTGCAACTACTACCACAGGTCCCATTATCAGTACTACTACTACAAAATGTGTCACTTATTAAATTAATTATCACTTAAAGATGTACTATAGAAGTTTTTGGTTGGGGGTCTGTCACCTGCTTGTTTCTATGGATATGTCGTTGCTCTCTCTGGAATGTTACACAGTATGACATGAAACAGCTCTACCTTACATTTATTAATGAATGAATGAATGAATGCTAGTAGTATGTCTGCGTGACATTTATTTTTATTTATTATAGAAAATAAATATTTACTTTTTGTATTATATCTATGTATTTACATTTTCTGCACATGTTCTATGCATTACTATCTGAAAAAACTTTCATTCATTCATACCTTACATTTATTAAATTACAGGTGGTTTTCTAGCTCAAATATTCTGACTGTGAGCAGGGTTTCCTCTCCACGGTCTGTTGTCTATGAAATATAAAAGTGAAATATTCCAGACAAAGCAATAAAATCTTCATGGAGAAAAGCATTTGATGGACCCTCCACCAGAAAAGTTACACAATGCACCTTTAACTGCACTAAAATAAGAAGTATTTAACCCCATTTAGAGAAATCTAAATGTATTGATCATGTATGTATGATAATCAAAATTATAGTATATATTTCTAGACTTCCTCTCTAAAGAAATCGTGTTCAACGTCCCAGTTAACACCCCTGTTGTGCGGAACCGAAATTTAGGGTCTTGTTTTTATCAGTCTGTTCATCGTCTATAGATAAAATTTGTCCCTACACACATTGCAGATCTTTTTATTGTAGGAGTAAAAAAAAACATTTTCAAAACTGCTACATGCAAAACATTGTGAGTCCCAATGCATACTATAGAGACGCTTTTACTGTAAATAGCATTAGCACAGTCAGAATCACAAGTTTTATTCAGACTAGATTTGTTCAGCATCATGTCGACACGAGCTGGTCTGTAAATCAGATTGGACAGCGACACAGTATCTGCTCATATTCATGCGCTTGTATTGTACAGCCTCACGAGGAGGGATCACACAATGGAACACACATTTGAGCTTTGCAATGCTTCCTTTTAGAACAGCTTCGGAAATCGCTTATAGCTGTCTGGCTGACACGTGTGTTGATTCGGATAGATACGGTATTGTGCAAAACAGAGTAGCGAACAAGTGCGCGGGAAGGCCTCTCTATCTCCATCCTTTGAGCTGCGCTTTCTGCCAAGAGAAGAAGCCAAGTTGGTTGCCGGTTCGTCTGTCTCCCCCTCACAAAGCCTGATGTGACTGCAGGGCCTTTCAGTTGGGCAAAGAGACAAGAGCTTTATCTTAAGATCCACTTCTCCACCTCCTCGCGCTCTCTCTTTTCTGGGTCCTTATGGAAAAAAGCCTGTTAGCTCCGGTGGGAGGGTGAAGAAAGGATGCGTTTGTTTCTGCACTCCCCTCCCTCCCTCGGTGATTCCACTCACACCATCTCCAATCATGTTCGACTTGTGTCTTGCTATAAAAACTTTTGGAAATGCCATTGTTAATGCTTCAAAGAGCAAAGGAGAAGCTTAAGCCCACATTCAGACTATAGTTCCACTGAGGCGTGCTGATATGAAAGGTGGATAAAGTTTACAGAGCTGCACATTAAATTTAGAATGTGTTTTTAAAGATTATTTGAACAAAATCTATTCAATATTCATCAATAACACTTACAGTAAAGAACGAAGAAAGAGTTTGTTTTTTTTAGGTGAATTCCTATAAAGCCTGGCATGACAGGGCAAACTGACTCCTGCTCCCCATCTGGAAGTATGACATCATCACTTCTACAATATCAAAGGTGCACTGTAAAGGTGCACTCATTTTTTTTTTTTCTCAGTGTAGTATAAACTTTACAATCTTGCATGTATTCAATTACAGCAATAGTGATTGCAATAAAATACTTTGTGGTTTCACCCGCTTGTCTCCATGGAGATTTATGCCATACTTTGGAACATTCCAGGCAAAACAATAACCACCTCCCAGAAGACTAGACCATATCAAAACTTCCACATGAAAACATCTTCAAATCTCACCAGATCTAGGATTTATAATGACAATATTTCTTATGTACAGTGGTAATTTGAAAAGCCAACTGAAGTTTCCATATATAGAGTGTAAATGTCTGCATTAATGTCTCTGGTGTTTGTTGACAGACTTTGTGAGTGGTGCTAACAGTGAGCCTGCTCCCAGCCTCGGGGACAGACAGACAGAGAGGAACCAGAATGCAACAGGACCCTCACAGCCGTCCGCTCCCACAGCGCGGTGAGTGTGTGTGCTCATCATGTTACACTACATGTATGTTAGCTTTTATGGCATGTTCTGTTTATTCAAGCCCATTATTGTCCAAGCACGGCAGACATCTCAACAGCACTGTTAATGCAATAGACTGGGTTCACGTGACACCCATGTTTTAAAATGAAGGTGGAGGTCAAAATATTTTTTTTTATCTGATTTATTATTAACACCTCAACACAGTCAATCCACATGAAAGAAACACTGTCATACAACACAAATGAACTAAGGAGAAATGCATTGCTTTTAAAAGAAATAGCCAAAGTTATTGTACCATCTGGCAGGGGAGACTGCCGAGGAAACTAGCCTTTTGGCTAATTCAGGTACATTTCTTGTATGTTTATTTAATGTACACTGTCCCACTGAAAAATAAAAAATAATAAATTGTTTTTTTGTCAGGAATTGTGCCCACAGACTTGCAATTGTAAACTTTTGGCTTTAAGTCATTTCAAATGACAAGAATCAAGCCTTTGTAATAACAATAATAATAATGCCACTTATATACCACCAGTACCACAAAAAACATATAAAGCTAATTTTACTACAGAATTCTGACCTGCCCTCTTAGTATTAATATACTGGTAGTAATTGTCTCATGAAGCCAACATGTTTTACAGTATAGTCACTTTTTAAAGTACAACAATTAACATCTATCTATTATTTAGGCACTATCATAATTGTGTTCATTCAGCAGCTGGTAGTTTGTTAATGTCATCATGATTTAATATCAGTTTAGCTCGCTTAAAAGTACACTGTGTAACATTTCTAATGGAGGGTCCACTGTCTGATATCTCCATGGAGATGTTATTGCTTTGTTTAGAATGTTCGCCGCTTCACTACAAGTCAGATCTGTGTAGAGTCACCCCTATTCATAGAGAGAATAACTGAATTTTTGAGCAATAGAAAAACATGAACAAATGCTAAATGGAAATATTTAAAGTCATACCATGGACATTCCAGGCAAAGCAATAACGTTTCCATGGAGACAAGTAGGTGGTAGACCTTCCACCAGAAAAGTTGCTCAGTGCACATTTAAGGTAAGAAAAAAATGCCAGCTCTGATATGATTTCACCTGATGGAAAAGCATGAAAGTTATGTGAAGCCAAGCTAAGTCCACCAGAGTACGACTCAGTAGGGACCAGTGGAAAGAACCAAATGAGTCTAACGGCAACTGTGAAGTGTCCCTCAAGTGTGACATCTCAAATCCACATCAGTACATGGTCTGACACTTAAAACTGAAGTTATTGAGCCCCATTATAACTGTTCCAGTCTACAGTACTCTCCTCGCTCTGGTGTGTGGACTTTTTACACATCTCACATAACACTGGGCGATTGTACTGCTTCTGTTTTGGGCCTAGATGAATGACATGCTGAAACACTGTGACTAAAACCATCCTCTCTTTTGTCTCTCACATACAACAGAAATATAGCCATCCGTGCATTATATTGGGATGAGTGGGGCAGCGGTGGAGGGGCTGGTCGTTGTCATAGCCACACTAACATATTGGAGTATTTATATAGGATTTGCGTGTATTAGACAAAAAGGCGCTCTTGTTCTTTTCATCCTCATAGGCTTTTCATGGGTGTTTGACTGTAACACTGATGACTCTCACCACTGCGCCCCCTCCATCCATCCCAAATCCCTTCCTATCAGCCAATTTAAACAAGCTGGGCCCTGTGAGTGAGGAGACACAGAGATGCTGCTAAGCTCTTTTTTAAAAACTGTAAAAAGGAATAAGAATGCTAGAGAAAAGAGTGGTAAAGAGGGTTAGGGCAATTTGGCAACCAACCGCCCAGCGCACTTCCCCAGGTCTTTCCCCGCATCAACAACATTGGCGAAGAAAGCAGATCCCCAAACAGTCCCACAGATAATGGCCATAGAGGGGAAAAAAGACAAAAGCCATTGCGTTTTTATTGCACAATTTCGCCCCTTTTTCTGTTAGAATACGCTTTATATCAGAGCCTCTTCGTAATCTGGTCTCTGATGAAGTTTCATTGTTTGTCATGTGAAGCCAGTGACAGCTTAACTGAGATGGAGTAGGGGAGGCATTATAGCGCAGGCGTTTTCCCGTTTGGCTCGGTGAGAAAAGAGCAGAGAAAACAGACGGAGGAGAGCACAATAGCAGTTTGGGGGCTCCTCGCTGCATTCCCACATTCCCAAATCCAACTCCAGCGCACGAAGGAGAGAGAGAGCTGGAAACTGGGCAGCATCCCAATAAACTGCTTCTGTGATTGCTGCTGGTCCTTCTCTGCAAAACTGTGACTATTTTCAGGTTTGACACACAACAGAGAAAAGCTGATTATTACTTTGAGAAACAGAAAATGAGATCAGATATTCTATGGCGCAGCATCTCCAATATCAAAACACAACAGCCTAAAATCTGGCAATGGCCCACTTTGTTGTAATGAACCCAAAGCTCAAAACTCAGTAAGATCTGGTCCATATTAGTTCAACACAAGTGCTAACCTTTTGCCTTTGCTGTTTTCTTTATGAAGTTACCGAAAAGTGAGTGAGAGAAGTCAAGTGCCTGAAAGCCTCCGAGTGACAGTGAGCAGCCATGCCTTCAGGACTCTCAGACTCACAGGTATGCCTGACCTGTCTGTGGGAAAATACTTCACTAAGATGACCTATGGCCCACAAACGTACTCACATTTTCAGAGTTTGAGTTGGATTCAACACTATATGTTATTACTTTACAAATATTTATCTGGATAGCCCCAAGATCTGTCTTTCTTAGTTTTTCTACTAAACTATCAGACGTTATCTGCCGCCCAACTGTCAAAGACTGAAGGCATCAACCCTATTAGAGTATTAGACACATCCAGAGTCAACTTGGGTCACCTGCAACAGTGTTTTCTCATAACACCAGTGGTTCTTTTTATACAACAATATCTCCTGCTGTGTTTAATAAAAAAAAACATGTCATGGAAAAACTGCCTACAGGTCTTTGTACAGGCCACTGCTTTGGTTTCTCTACATCTTCCATCACTCACAAATATGGAGTGTTTTGACCTGTTTTTTTAATCTAATAATTAAAAAATGTTCACTTTGTGTTTGGACACTTTTTTTTGCTGTTACATCAACTGTCTGTGTGTTTTTCTGTTGGTGGTGAACAGCGTCAGACTGGTCTGACTGGTCTGCTCAGGGTGACCGGTTGCCCCTCTGTAACTCCACTGTAACGTGGATCTGATGCTGTGGCTCCGTCTCATGTGCAGTTGATTTTGCATTCAGCACACAGACTCTTATTATTGACTGAGCCACACTTGGCACATCTTTGATCATACAGAAGGGCCATAGAGGAAATCCCATAGCCTATTTATCTACAGTGTAGTGTGATCTATGTCCAAGAAGACTCTACCTTATTAGTGACTTGCCATTTTATTAGTCTAAAATATACTGAAGTAAAACAACAGAGCCACACTGTGTTCATTACATGCATTTTTTTTTTACTCCACACTCCTTAACCCCCCAAAAACCTGAACATATGAAATATGACTTGCTGTCTACTATAAGGCAGTTATTGTTGTAAGCCGTGCTCTGATTCTCATATGACATTGTGTGTCCCTCTGCACATTTAGCCTGAGTGCTTTTGTCTTGCGCCTCATGACTCACTGGTCATTTAGGTAAACCACTTTAGGAAAACATGGCCTCTCCTTGGCTCTTACCTCCCATTCCTTCTGTGCCCTCCATTTTAATAATTTAATTTTTTCAGGTTGATTAGCATTGGTCTTTTCACTGTTCGCACTCTGTCATTTGATAATCCGGACTGTAGGCTATTGTAGGGAATTTGCATCCGCATTTTAAATGAGTGTAAAAGGCACGGCTGGGTTTTAATGTCAATCATAAACTTATTAAGGCAGAGCTCAGAGCCACAGATGCAGGTGAGTGATGCAGGGTTACATTTTTGAGGGAGCGATCTGCTTGTATGTGCCTCATCACACTGGACTCAGGCCCCAATAATGTGCTTTACTCAGTTTATTTTGTTTTGTGGTTTGATTTCCAGGTGTTGCAGAAGGTGACAAAGCCAGTGCAAGTGTGAGTTAATGAACCAATTCCCTTTCTAACTGAACATTACATTTGTTATAATGAGAAATGCTCTAATTTATTTTAGTAAATGTACAGTAATAATAATTGACAAAACATGCATTGTGGGTTTGTATTGACTTTATATTAGTCACCAGTTAATGTATGAGTTCTTATGACCTTATATTGTTCTTAAGTAAGTGATGAGTAAAGGTTATGTAATTTATCTCATCACATTATTTATTCTTTAAAATATTGATCATTACTCATAGTAATTTATCATTAACATTAGTAGACTTTGTAACATTACATACTTAAACATTTCTACATGAAATATCTATTTTTGAAATTGATTAAAAGTGTTTTTTTTTTTTTTTTTTAGGAAGAAGAAGACCCTGGGACCCTTCGAGTGGTGCATTTAGGAATGGTTTGACAATGCACAATTATAGTTATATATTTTTTAGAGTTGTAATGTATGTTTTTTGCAGATATAATATTGTGTTGGAGAGGTAATAGTGTTAAGAATACATATTTCACTCTTAGATGTCGCAGTATATTTTTTGGTTTTATGGTAGTAAAAGTATTTATGATAATACTTTACTGTTCCTATCAGCCAAAACCATGGCACATGTCTTAAAGTGTAAACTCAGGTGCAACTTAATGCAAACATTACCATTTTGCATTTATAAAACATGACTGTGTTTAAGCCTTACCATTAATAAGAAGGCAAAATAAAAGCTGCTATTATACTTCCATCAGCTCTGATATTCAATACATTTACTATGTGTGTGCTCCACTCGTGTGTGTGTGTGTGTTGGCCAAGATTACGGGCCACAGTTTTATTCATGAACAGGAGCCAACCCGCGACTTTAAAGCATTGCGCGGAGCCCCTTTCCTGAACAGCAGCCATGGCCGTGTCAGAGCTGTCGACGCGCCGCGCTCAGCCACTAATCTGACAGCGCCGCGCGAGCCCTAATCCCCCACTGTATCGTAATCTATTTACTTTGCATTCTAAGAGGATTTCCACCAAAAAATATACAAGAAGCGATGTTGGGAATGGACAGAAGATCAGCCAGGATGCTTTGCTTGCTTCCCTTTTTTGTTTTGTTAGCTTTAAAAAATCATTGTATGTTTTTTGGGGAGTCAATTCACGGCGAGAGAGATGGGTGAAAGGAATTACATTTGTGACTGATACTAATACTTCTCTTATGTAAACATCAAAATGCAGTGTTTCCTTTCGGATGATACAGTCACACTACAGAGGCTGCTGGTGATAAGTGGCATCTGTCTCTGCCTTTAGTGCATCTCTTGACACGTTCATAATTTACAGACCCAGGCAGTATTATCTTGCGATTGTTTGACTTGACAGCTCGAATAAAAGCTGCAAAATTGCTTAACATCCAAGCACAAGTTACTCCCATGTAAGCTATGGCCTACACAGAGTAGCCCCCGTTGACATGCAAACAGTGAAATCTGTTCTGTCATAACACTAAACAAAGTAGATGACTGCATGCTCTGCTCAGTTACCCTTTAAGCAATTATGTCAGCTTTGTAAATCAAATGTAGTTATGCCTCATTTAAAATGTGGCCAGCAGCTCATTGTGAAAACACTGCCTTTCGCTCAAATCTTGTATCTGTAGAGATGACTTGAAGAGATAGGCTTATTAGTGGTATTAACATACTGTGTGGAGCTGGAACGGCCTTGTTAACATTTGGAAATGAATCAAGCCTACAGCACTCACTTTTATCAAGGTTCACTGTTTTTTCTACTTCCTCAACAGCTCACAGTGTTTCTACCCAGACCTTATCACAGCTAATGATGCCTCTGATTGCACTGAAATGCTCCCCTCAGGCTCTTTGTGGTAAAGGTTTGTTTTACGCACACAATAACATAATAGACAAATATCCCAGCATGCCTCAGGGCAACAGGGAGAGTACAAATTAACCACAGATGAGAATTTGAATTAAATGAAGTGCAATAAAGTGATTGGTCTTACTGATTAAGAACACAACACCAAAAAACATTATTTGAAGATTTTTAGATGGATAGAAATGCCCATAATGATTTGCCTAAGATTTGCGTTATTTTCTTTCCTGTTATTTACATACATCGTTAAAAAGCCAGATGCTCTTCCTGAGACTACCCTGTTCATTTCATAGTTATATTTCACCTTAAAGCTTTATTGCTGCTAACTCCAGTAATTTCCTTTTCATTTCTCCGGTCAGGCAGTGCTTCTTACAGCATATTTTTAAGGTCAAAGGTTGTGCCATTTTAAGACAATAGTACATTGCCTCTACATTTGAGAACCACGCTGTTGTTTTCAGTCATTGCTTTTGGATTAGTATGTGGAGAGAAATTGACCACTTGCAAATAATGAGTCTCCTAAATAAACAAGGAAATAGTGAGTGAAGAGGTGATGCCTGAAGGCCAGTGAGTCTTGTGCTAAGCCTTCGCAGGGCTGGAGTGGAGCAGGCATGTTGGGACACAGGACAGGGTACATCCTTTCCACATGAGATAATATGGGCTCTTTTTAAATACCTCTTCTTTTCGTCCTGCTTTTGTCCCCCAAACACAACTGATACACAGTACGGAGGAGGGCTTGGCCATCCTTTCTCCAAGCAAGAATACCTCATACTTTTCGTCTATTGAAGATATGTCTTAATAAATTAAAGATAAATAACCACTGATGTTCCCTAAAACTATTAATAGACTAAAACAATAGAATAAAATTATTAATAATCTCAGGATTTGTATAGTCTAGCTGAGTTTCTGGTGACAACACAACATTTAATAAGCCAATATTATTTAATACAGATGGGGGCAGTTAAACTTAATATTGTTGAAATGCTGTTTTTTAATGTATTAGTGAGTTCTAGGGTTTAGTCGCTACTAGAAACTCTCAGGTTCAGCATTTGCATTTGTGACTTTACTTTCTGAATATTTCTAATGAAAATACTATGTGATCAATAGAAAAATCTGGGAGTTTGACATCATTTACATTCCAAAGTCCCATTTTGTGTTTTGTTTGACTGGGTGTTTGTGCCTGTTCTGAGCACATACATGTTCTTATGTTTTATGCTTTCTTTGGACATTTTGACTGAAAAAAAAAAGAAAAAGAAATTGTTCTTTCAACGTTTGTTATGGTCTTTTTTATTATGGTGTCCCTCAGCCTTCTTTCCACTCAGTTTGGTCACCTGTGCTTGTGCTTAAAGAGGATTCTGACAAAGCACTTTCTTCTGTGTACATGTGTACACTTATGTGTACATGAATACCCAGCGCCTCATGTCATATAGGTGACTGAGCTGCATTTTCCACTGACTATTGGCCACCTGGACTCAGCTGTGAAATGGGTAGTGCTGGTGTAGGTTTGAAGATGTACAAGGCGGTTTTCTATAAACCGAAGAATGGTGTAAGATGGATTAGGACTTTTACTCGTCACATGTGACTTAATATAAGGCCTGCAATGAGACTGTTAAAATGAACTGTCACATAACAAAGCAGAGAAACCAGAGAAGTGGCCTGACTACTCCCATGTCGTGTACAGTTGACCCAGTGCTAACCTGGTAAGTAGAATCCTGCTGTATCACCTCTCACTCTCTATGAACACACCAGGATGCCAAGTCTGGCCACAATCAGCAGCCAATGAGCAAAAAGCACTTGTTTTTTCAGCACATACATTAGACAGGGAGTAGCCCGAGCATGCAGGCTGGTATCAGAGATCTGCGGCCTCCTCCGTCTCCGGCCTCACACGCTGGCCTCATACTGCTGCTACTGTCTTCTTTATCTTTGTCTGGCTCCTTCCATCAGATACACATCAAACTGTTGATGCAAAAAAATGTCTGTGCAGTTCCGGTTCATCTCCTGGACAAGTGTGAACAAAATGTCAACAGCTTCACCCAGAGGAGCAGACCAGGGGTCAGAGGTGGGCCGCCAACGTGCAGCAATCGATTCTTCTATAAAGAACAGTACAGAAAGAAAGAGTCCCTCTTGTCAATATAATGAGCTATGAGAGGACTGCATCTTCCACTGCATTAAGGTTTGAAGTTTGCTCAATATAAAGACACTAATTGAACTATGACCTTCATAGGCATCCACATGATGAGGATTGGCCCTTGATCAAAATAAACATGATGTGAGTAGATCTTCATCACACATCAGTGAGAGTCTGTTCTGGAATCTTGTTCTTGATTTATTGTCTAGGCTTATCTATTGTTGTGATTGTTTCCTTGAACCTTTATTATTAGCCTTATATTTTTTCTTGGCATTAATCATTTAAAACAATACATACTTTACTTTTGGAGCTTCATCTACGTAAAATAAATATTTTATACTTATGCTGTAGGAAATTTACAACAATAATTAGACCAAATCCCTGAGTTTCGCCTAATCAGGCTCAGTCTTTGCTCTTGTCGTTGCGCGCGTTTTCTATTTTAAGTGAAAGGGTCCAGAAAAAACCGTCATATTCTGTTGTCTTTTTCTCTGGTTATTCCTCGCGGCCTTGAGGACCTCTCGCTGCTTAGGCCCGTGCGCCACCGTGCTTTTCCGCGGCTTGTGAAGGCGCAGCTGTCTCAGAGCAGACCTGTAGCTCGCTCCTTTGACAATCCCTCTGTATCGCAGACAAATGTTTGTTCGATGCAAATCAGACAAATCCTCCGCTGTTCGGAAACACTCGCCTCGCTGTTTGCGCGTCTTGGCGCAAATATGTTTAATGTCCTCTTTGGCAGATATTTATTCAGCTGCGAGGCTCATTTCCATAAAGAGAGCGAGTGCATCTGAATCGGCTCTGCGGGAAGAGCCGGACTACAATATGTATCGATCACATGATAATCTGATCACGCAGAGGGATTATCGATGGTTTTCAAGGTGGGGTTCAGGGGACAGCAGGACTCGCGTGCGGGTCCCACTGGGACAAACAGATGCTGTAATTCAATTAAAAAGTGGCTATTTGTTATAATATTTTATGTTTTTGCCCAAAACAAGTGTTGGCCTATAATTAAAGAGGCAGGCCCGCGCGTGCACATCTTTATGGGGATAGCTTCATTCCCACTAGAACTGTTTTTCCTTGACCAGCTCATGTACTTGATTTCGTGCGTCCTTCATAGGTAAAAATATCATTGTCTAACATAACCTTTCCAGAGAACTGACGCGTTTGTCTCCCACCCATTTATAATGCTATATTAATGCCCACGAGCGTTCAGCATAGCACAGACTTACACGTGACCCCCTAACCTGGCCCCACCTACGTAATTACGCATCAGAGGCGGTGGGATTCCTGTAGGTTATTTTAGAGAATCCAACTCAGGGCGCTGCAGTAATTATCACGCCATTACAGGGCTGCATTCTATTACGCCTCGATCAAATGTCTTCAGGCTCCATATTTAGGACTTTTTACCATTGCGCTTAAAAAGACGCTCTGTGTGCCTTGAGCAAGGGAAGATGTTAGTATTTCAATTTGACAGAGACATAGGATTAAACCAGCTGCGCTCTAAAATGGAAATGCGGGCCTACACGCGTTCACGCCTTGTATTAATTATGGACTCATTTGCATTTACCCTCTTAAACGTGGTTTAATTAAAAAGAAGCAAAATAAACAAGCTTTAAACAACAGTGTGACTAGTTCAAATGAGAAAACAACCTCGTGAATATCAAACCATTAACCACAGTCTGTGTGTGTGTGTGTGTGTGTGTGTGTGTGTGTGTGTACAAGGTTGATGCGTATTTGGTGCAAAAACAAAAATAAAATGTGGTTAATAACTGGGACTTAACAGATCTTTATTGGATGAACATGTATGTAAAAGTGGTCTTGTTAATGTTACATTCAACATCTCACTGTCATTTTGGGACTAGAAATCCATTTCCCCTCAAAAATGCTTTGACTCCAATATCAAGCCAAGTGCTGTGTTCAAAACATGTCAGATAGCAGACAATGGCCAGAGGGGAGGCCTACGTGGAGAATGAAGTGGCCTAAAACTTTCAATTAAAGATGAATGCCAAATCAAGCATACAATGATTTGGTTTCAGTATTTCAGACATTTTAATTTGTTAATAAAACAGTATTGATATAAAAGTTGGCCAATTTGTTCTCTTTGGAATAATCAGACAGATTTACATACAATGTTATTTTTTTTTTACTTTCTTTTTCTCCCAAAGTGGTAATAAGCAATTTCAAATTTGGAAACACCAACTAAGCATGGTCATTGTAACTGACCCAAATACATATTTACATATTTCAGCTGCATGAAGTAGCTGACTAAAAACTCTGTCATCCTAAAATAACAAATTTGAGAAATAAAAACTATACAGGATTTGATTGGGCTGGAGGTAAAGAGGGCACACTGCAGGCAGTTCCTGTGGTGCAGCAGAGGAAATATTCCAACTGTCCCTGGAGCGTTTGGTCTGGACTAAAGTTTGGTTTGTCAGGCTCCTCCTGAATGTGCTGCTTCAGAGACACATCTCACTCTGAGCCTCAGATTTAAGCGACTTCATTGTACTAACAGAACAGGTCAAATCAAACGTCCAGTGGTGCTGTGCAGTCAGGGTGTTTTTGTCTTTAAAAACTTGTCCAGTGCTGCAGGGGAAAAGGTCAACAACAGTGAGAAAAAGCCCATCATAAGACTTGGAACCTCCAGGAGGCCTGGTCCTTGTAGTCCAAGCAGTCTGTGGCATTAAAGTTGAGCTTCCACGAGGAGGCGGCGCTCTGCTCTTTGTAATCCAGGCAGTCAGAGGAGTTGAAGGCCAGCCCCGAGCCCCCGTAGGCCTGGTGGTGATGATGGTGATGGTGCCCTGAGGACTGGCTGATGTGGTGATGGGGGTGTCCCGACATGGACGAGGCCGTCATGGGGCTGAGCTGGTGCGGGTGGTGATGTGAGTGCATGGGGGCCAGGTATGAACTGCAGTCCACGCTGCTAAAGTAGGAGCTGGAGGGGGGGTAGCCCTGGCCGTAGCCCGGCGTCTGGTTGTAGGACATGGGGTATGAGGTGGCGGCGGTGGCAGAGCCCGACATAGAGCGCTGCATACAGGAGGCGTTGGAGGGAGGTCCGGGCTCGGGCAGGGGGGCCACAGCTGGGGCAGGGGCGTTACCGGGGGAGATGGCAGGGCTCCAGATGGAGGACACAGTGCTGATGGAAGTGGAGGTGCTCAGGGCCGGCCCGCTGTGGTTCGTGGAGGACGAAGAGGAGGAGCCGGCGCTGGACACAGCAGGAGGGGTGAACTGACCGCTGCTCTCTGAGCCTGTGCTCTCTCGGGCCGGAGAGGACTTCTTTTTTGGAGGCCTGGCTTTGGCACTGCTGCCACTCTGCTGCTGCTGCCGACATTTGGCCCTACGGTTTTTGAACCACACCTGCAAACAGAAACCCGTTAGCACCTATGCACAGTGCAGCTATAAGAGACTGTGGGGCCATGCAGGGAGGACATTATGGAGGAAAATTGAGGGTTATTAGCTATCAAGGTTCATTTCCACCCTGGCCCCTTGGCTTGGACCATCCAGGGATCTAATTTCATACTAGGACGACAGTAAGATAACAGCCTATTGGGTTGCACCACACAGTAGGGTAACTCTAGAGCAGAGAGAGGGTAGGATCATGTAGAGCATTTTGTTTCACACACACATTCTGAAAATAACTCAAATTGTGTGAGAGAGGCCTTGCTTGAATTTAAACGCTTTAAACTGCAGCATTTGTCCAACAGGTGTTTGAGAAGCATTTATGGAACAAGGCCTAGACCACATGCCCATATCAGGTTCATGTTACACAAACTCTTAGAATAATTTAAATGGGCCAAGTGTCACACATCTATTCACAGGAGTCTGTACATTTTGTGAATGGCTTGGTGGGATGTTTTAAAGAACAAAAACCCATGTGATTTGAATACATTAGGCTGGCCTCTGCTCACTTATGTAAAATTATGCTAAGAACTAGAACTAATGCTTGCAGTCCCATATGTCCTACATCATGAAGGATACAACTTTCAGAAAATTAGTCAGATGACCAATAATTTCCATTAGCGTGTTTTGACTCAAGATGAAAGCGTAAAAGGTACATGAAAATAACATTCCAAATTATTTCATTGTATTTTCAGTATATATTATATTATATTTTGGATAAAAATATAGCACAGAAAAACAAACAAACATTTTAGTAAGATCAAAATAGATCCATAGTCTGTCCTTGTGAATTAAAGTGAATGAGAGTAAATGTTTTGCAGAAAATAGCATTACATTATTAAAAAAAAAAAGATAAATATATATATACATTCACCTGAACTCTCGATTCGGGCAGGTTAATCTTCAGTGCCACCTCTTCCCTCATGAAAATATCCGGATAGCGGGTTTTTGCGAAGAGCGCTTCCAGAACATCGAGCTGAGAGCGGGTGAAAGTTGTGCGCTCCCTCCGCTGCTTTCTGGGCGTCGCTGCAAGAGAAGACGAAAGTAAATATCCCGCTTTACAGTGCATAGTACATGAAACAAGAGTCCAAATTCAGCTTGATAGAAAATCAAAACATATCCGCTGCAACTGATCAAATCAAACGCTGGAAAACACACGCGATGTAAACTCTTAACTCAGTGCGTAAAATGTAGCAATTTCGTTAATATACTCCATAACATGAAGGCGCCAACCAAAGCGAAAGTCCATTCAACTTTTTGCAACTTAAAATTAATAAAATTACACAAATTACGATATCAAATAAATATTTCCTTTTTTAAGTAGGGCCTAGTCCTTAATAAACTTGTTTCTATTAATGTGCGCTTTTCTCTTTTATCACCTACAGCACACAGGACACTGTGTTGGATTTAAAAGTGGATTATTAAATTGAATCAAGTTAAATCAGGTTTCCAGGTTAAAACACGCTCTTTTGGAAACATTTACTGTGCAATAATTTGTCATTCACACGGGTCTGTTTTGTTTTGTGAAGTTTAAATCGTGACATAACATTGCGCGTTTGCGCGTTGCACCAACCTGGATATCCCACGGAAGGGTGCAGCAAGTCCATGGCTGCGCCGCTCAGCCCCAGGCCGTTGACGCCATAGGGGGGCTGTTTGAGGTAGGACATCATGCTACAGGCGGTCACTGCTCCACCCAGCTCCAGCTCAGGCCAGTGGTGCGCTTTCCCCCGATGCTGCAGCTTGACGGGACAAGAGGCTGATCCAAATACTGCGCAGACGATAAAAGATAAGACATCTGTTAAAACTTGACATACACAATTACAAAATCACAACGGTTTACTTTTTACCTATTGATGCAAATATAACTGTAAAAGAATAGGCACTTCTTCCTATGTGTTTCATAAATAAATTACTTTGACTTGAATCTTGGATTTTTGTTTTAAGTGGCAGTGGCACTCCGGTACAAAGAGCATTAATTGTTGAACGATAAACCTATAAATTAGCAGCAGGGAGGCACATAATTCCCCGAAGGAATATTGGATTTTTGGCGAGGGATAACTAGGGTCAAACGGCTCCATTATAGCAAATATCAGCCCAAAGACGCACACTGGGTACATTTGCCGTTTCAAGTAAAAATAGAAATGTCCTCGTGGTGATGCGATGGCCAACTCCACAGCACGATGTGTTTAGTCTTATTACCTCACACCATCTCACAGTGTGTTCATACATATTTTAGTAGAAATCTTAATAACCTTTCTATTAATGCACACATCCGGACATCACAATTAACTCTTAACGAATCTAAATAAAAACACTGAAAAATATAAATTCGTATAAAAATACATTTGCAGGAGGGGAGTTCTGATCGTGATACAATAGTTTGACTCACTCATGTAAAATCTTGGTGTGTGACTTACGGGTAAAGACAACTGTTTCCCCTTGAATATTTCACTTATTTTTACTTTTTAAATTTTGCCTTTTGAATAATTAGAAGAAACATCTCCCAGAAAGTCAGTGGTTGTAGATAAACAGACGTCACTTTTACGCACGATCAGAGAAATCACTGTTCCAGTCCTTAACCACTTAATCGTTGGTGTGCGTGCTAAAAGAGAAACAATTTTCATCATAATACATGTTTATTTTAGTTTAATGGACTATCTGCATTTTAAATTAGTCTTACACAAATTATATGCTTATCCATTAGTACTGGCAACACACTGACCAAAACAATGGCAATGAGCTGAGAAAAGAAGTTTCAATCCTGCGCCCTCAGGAGTTGTAAATGAAACTAAATGTAACCAGGCCCGTAAACACATATGTTTAACAAAAACTACAGGTACTGTTTAAATATTATGAATGACATTAGTGGCCATGATGGGTTTGATTGTTTTTCAAATTAGCTGCTGATGGAGCTTGTGTGTATTGCAGCGGACCCCGGGCCCAACGAGGCCCGAGTGAAAAGGCCAGATCCCGGTGCAAATGAACTCAATTAGAATTTAGATTAGACCTCCGGGGAGAGAGCGTTTCACGAGGGCTCTTATCAGCAAAAGAAATTAACAAAAACCAAAACACGCCTCTTCAATTATCTACTAAGTGCTGCCGATGTTTTAATGGCCAATTGCTGTGAAAACAAGTGGAATAGAAATATGAAATTATCTACTCGGGAAGAAGTTGACTTAATTTAACCCGAGTAAAGACAAGTGCGCATTAATTGATATCTCAACTACATTAAACAGAAGCGCACGGAGACAAAAATTGAAATCCAAGCACATACTTGAGCTAAGGTTGCATTTAAATATTTTAAATAATACTTACAAAAAGTGCCATTTTAGTTTATGTTACACGTCACGCGTAAATTAACAAAACTAATAGTGGGCTATTAGTAATAGAGCTAGTCAGGCCTGAGTTTAAACATAAATGATGGGACTTTACCTGCAGATTCCCGTCCTCTCCCGAACTCCCAAGCGGCTGTGAAATTATCCAGCAGTAGGAAGTCTGCAGGGCACGAAGTGGAGCAACTGCAGATTCGCTCAGAAACTAGTGCGTAAAGCGAACTGCATCACGGACGGAAAAAAGCGTCTTAAAGGTGGCCCGTCAGTGCGTCCTCGGTACGCCTTCGCGCGTTTTTACAGCCAAATAAATCACACTCATTTGGTTTCAAGGGGCATGTCGTTGTCTGTCAGAGTTTAGAGAGATTTTCTAAATGCAGACGAAAGGAGATTGATCACCCTCTCTCCGCCCTGAGCCTCTATGAGCGGAGGACACCTGCGGAACTAGTTTCTTTCAGCCAATCAGCTCTCGCCTTTTTACTGACGGACAGTGAGTCCTGCCAATCACGGAGAGGAACGGGTGACATGTGTCCGCGCGCCGTCCCCCCGCGCCCCCCGCCTTTCGTTCCCGTTGCTCGGTTCTTTTAAAAAGATAGAATGTTTTTTACCGAGGCCAAACAGAGGACAAAGTATGGGAGAAAGCATCCGCCTTGGAAATAGACTTTTTTTCCTTGTATATAGTGCTAGTGTTGTTACTTTTTACATTATTATTATTATGTTTTTTGTATTATTTTAGAGCAGACCTATCTCCAACATATTTATTTTCAGGAGAGGAATAGACAATTTATGCAAGAAGTTGCTTAGACTGTAAATCAACAAATGAACATGGCATACTTTTTTAGCACTTCTTTCCATTATGGCCAAAAAGGCTGTGGAGCTGCTATTTTTTAATATAAAGTAGACATTTTCTGTGGAAAAATGTTTTAACGAACACGTTTTGAAATGGCATTTTTTGCGTTCAAGGTTTCTGCGTAATGCGTAAAATAGAAAGATGCAATTTAAAGTTATGCATTTGGACTTTTTTTTATTGTCAAACAGCCGCTCTTTCTCTCCACACGCAAACACACAGCACCCTCATGAATATTAATAAGATCCCGGCCTAATCCCCATTTAGATTTACATTTGAGGATGGTTGACGTAAAGTTTAATAAGAAGAGGCCTCTGAGACGAAGGAGGAGGAAAAGAGAGAAAATAGAAAGCGCTACGGTCACTGCATCAAACGTAAGACTTTGCTGTAATGTTTTAGCGCCCTTAGTCGATGGTGCTTTAAATAAACAGGTTTTTCAGTCTTTATAAAAGTGTGGACGCTTTGACTGGGTATTCTCCTTCTTGTTTGTATTAAACTCGAAAGCTCTAAATTAGGCCTGGGTCGAAACAGATTAATGCACAAGAAAAAGAGAGAGAGAGTGCAGAGAAAAGGGGAGTATAGTAAACATGCAAGTATTGCCTATAAAAAGCGACCTACTACTTAAATTTAGGCTAGTGCGCTGAAAATCAAGGTCAGTGGGCTAAGTGGTGAGATTTGGAAAAAGCCGCATGTGTAAAGTCCAAAAGTCTTTAATTCCAGCATAAAGGTCCGAGCTGAGAGGGCCCTCGGAGGGTCTGGCCGAAATACCAGCACCTCCTCTATTCGCATCCACACGGGCTTAGTTAGTTAAATTATGCAAAAAGGCCATTCAGCATATAGTCCTGCCAACACAAAAGACCCGCATTTATTGTGACATTTCACCCACATTTGTTGTTTTATTCCGTGCTTTCCCTCGATGCAAGATAAACCCTTGAACAAGTATCAAGTTATCACCAACCTTTTGTAATAAGAGTATTTTGTCTAATCCCAAATTGCAGTTGAATTTTCTTAATGCTGAGCTGGTAAAGCCTGGGATTAGGCGGCGAGTAGAGCAGAAGAGAGGAGGGGGAAAAGTTTGGTCCCTCCAGCCGGCGGGATTGGAAGTGGGGATGTTGTCGGTGCTTATTAAAGGCATGATGCATAAAACACAGCGTTGGACGAGCCGAGGCGCTGATCGCACAAAGCGGGCCCCGGGTCCCTCAGGTGTGGAGCAGGAGAAGGCAGAGGCCGGTCCTGTGAGCTGAGGCCAGAGACATCAAAGCTCACAGATAATCCATTGCGCTGAAGGACTCTCAGCAGCGCACCGCACCGAGCCACGGAGCTTTTACGCAGCGCTTAACTCCAGAAACACCACCACGTTTGTCTCCGTCCACCACAAGATCACACCGAGATGGAACTACCAAGGTAAGACAGAACAACTAAACTTTTATTATTTCGGAAAAAAAAAACAAAAAAACACAACAAACAAAATATATATATATATATATATATATATATATATATATATATATATATATATATATATATATATATATATATATATATATATTTTTTATATTTACAAGTTGTGGATCTGTAGGAAAATGATTGGCTATAATTTAAAATATAGGCTTTTAAACTTTTACATGTATTTTGTTATCACAAAAAGTTTCATAGCTTGAGTAAAATGATTCGTTTAAAATTTGGTCAAATTTTACTTGACCAAAAATAACTTTTACGCACGAGCATCCCAGTGGCGAACAGTGTGAGTAACAAAATGTGAATCCTGATTTAGTGTGATTTGATCTGGGGCTGACACGTGTTCAAATAATTTGATTGAGATCAGAGCGCGCAGTGAAGCCCCATGCAGTCCGAGCTCACGTCCTTCAGCATTTCCACGACTTTATTCTGCAGATTACAGGCGGCCCCGATACACCGTATAATACACACTAAAACAAAACGCCTCGGGGGAACACCCAACTATTAAAGTCAACGACAAACGCACCAGGTCCCAAGCAGAGAAGAAACGAATTGGCAAATTAATTTGAAAGTGTTGGAAAGGCCGGGGAGGACGTCTGCTGTCAGAAGCCATTTTGCCGCTCTAATCAGGGATGGGAGGCTGCCTGCAGGGATCAAGTGCAGGGTTAAAACCAAACACATTTCATTTCAGTTGGAGGTAAACACCGCGCTCATTAAACGACGCGAGAAATATTCTATTTAAATCCACACCAGTGTTTTTCCTAATCTAATTTCACATTTGTGTGCATCTGTGTGTCCAGTCCAGCGCGTGCAGCAGCAGAACATCTGCACTAATCTGCTCTAAGGAAGCCGCTCTCACCGACCTCAAACACAAAACCCCGAACGCCAATTTTCATTTATAAACGCGCACAGATCACTGGGGAATTGAACAGAGCGCGGAATAAAAAGCGTCGCTAAACGATGGCTCACACTAAAGGCTATTGGATCCACTGATAGACCTGCGCACGCCACACAAGCGCGCGGATTTTTTTTTACACTTTATAATAATAGAGCAAAGTGAACAAACAGCGACCAAACTGAAAATAAATGACAATGTTCAAAGTTTTAAAAAGTGCATAACTATGCAACGTAAACGAAATACCTTTATTTTAATTAGTCTATGCGAGAAAAACTAATCCGAAATCCTAATAATTAATTTTTAGATTTAATCAAATCTGATTTTATAGAAATAAAGAGAGAGAGGCACAGTTAGCTTATGGATATGAAATTGTAGGACTTTATTGAAGTTGGTTATGACACTGGAATAAATAAACAGCAATGTCCACACTTAAACATCTGAAAAGTGAAGCTATGAAAAGTGTGGAAGCCACGTCTGCATATAATAAATACAAATAAGTTGTTGAGCAAAATGCATGAAATGCAATGGTAGATTACTTACAAGCAGCTTAAAGGAAACAGCAATAAATAATATCATAATTGTTTTGACTGCAAGAATTCCTCCAACAAGGAATATTGTAAGATATTGGTCAGAGCAGGGATGAAAATATACAACAAGACAGATTCAAAATAAGCTGAACCAGCTCTCAAACGTTTGGTAAACTGCTTTCAATAACAATAAAAAAGGATTAAGAAAGGTGAAATAGACATTATTCATGTAATAGTTCCCCTTAAAGATATGTTACAAGAGTGAAAAAAATAAAAAATACAGTCAAGTAATGAAGTAATTTTAAAAGTCATATGTTTTGTTTGTTTTTTCATTAAAAGTCCAATTGAAAACACACTATCTTTGCGACCCTACAAAAGTCTGTTGTGCTGTACCTCGAGTCTCCTCAGAAAAGCTTGTGCTGCTGCTCAGATTTAAACTATACAGTCGACAGGTTTTGCACTTTTTTTCTCATGCAGGTTTTTCTTAAGTACCTTTCCTCATTAAGCAAATTGAAAATAAAACAAAAAATATAATAGACACTGCTTATGTCATTGAAAAGTTGGTGCAAAGGCATTGCTAGGCTCAAATATTCAAAAGAGCCTCTTGAGTGAATAAGAAACCGGAAACCCACTATAATAATAATCAACAGTTATTGTACAATTCTTTTATCGGCTACATTTGTTTTGTAGTGTCATGACGCTCACTGAAGAACACACTTCTCCTCTTTCTTGGCCATCTTGCCTTTGTTTTGCTCCAGTGTCCTCTCCAGGTGCTCGTCCTCTTCCTCAGCCCTGCGAAGGTCAAAGGTCAGAAGGTCAGAAGGTCATGATAGACAGGCACACTATCGCTGTGGCAACCATCTATGTGCCACCTGAGGACTGGCGTGGAGCCAGCGGCCCAGTTTTGACCCTTCACCTGCCTGGCACCATTTCAGCCAATCAGGGCTCCAATCTGGATCAGGTCCCGCCCCCACAGGTGCGCTGCCACTGTGCTACCGTAGACTGTATACGCTGTGCACCGTGTGACTGGAGGCGGGTTTAACCAAAACCTCTTGTAAACAGTTTTTTCACGAACGTCTGAAAATGTAAAGATATGCAGACGCCTCCACGCATTCAACAAAAGCTGGATTTAGACTTCAATTTTGCAAAAAAATATTTCTATTGTTCTTTGAAGGATTAAAAGTAACTCTTAAAATAACTTACTCTTTCTCTTGGGCATCCAGGTCCCTGACCAGAGCATCCCGCTTGTTGACCAGAATGACCAGTTCATCCAGAAGCAGTTGCTCGCGCCTCTTCTGAGCCTCAGTCTTCTGCCAATCTGTAACCACCACATCAAAGTCACTGGGCTTTTTCAACATCCACAAACTCTTTACTCTTTTACAAAAGAAGACATTGAACAACTAACTGTAGGGGAATACATTATTATTAGTCCTGTGATATGAGCCTCATCACTCATCTGAAGCCAGCACAGCGCAAACCAGCGTCACATGATTTTACCTTCGTATGGTATGTATGATCCCCTCTCCATCAGCCTCTCTGGGCTCAAGTTTGGGCCTACACAAACACCACTAAGGACATCGTCGTGATGATCAGAGGGGTTCTGTTTTTAAAAACCTGTGTGTGCAAAAAACGTCTGAAATGTTTAAAAACTGACTTTGACAATTTTTATGTTTTTGCTTTTTTATGTGAATCATGAGGAGTTTACTAAAGTCTAAGAAAGTAAACTGATTCACTTTAGTAAAAAAGTTCTTGTACTGCAGAAAAACTAAGTATATTTGATTGTAAATGCTTCCAATTATTTAATGTAATGCAGGGATTAATCTATTCTATTTAAAAATTATAAAAACTAATAATAACTGTAATTATTGTTTAAAATGTATGAATAATTAAATATTTTCCAAAAAATAAACAGGTGTGCCCCAGTCTCAGTTCTTTGGGGTCCATTCAGGAAGGGGCCCCACAGGATCCAGGTGGGACCCTGATCCAAATCCCCTCTGCTGCTCCCAGAGGAGAGGGCAGCCCACGGGAGAGCTGCTCTCCCCCGGGGGACAATATCCGCTGGCACCCTTAGGAGCCCCAACTCCCTCCCTCTTAAAACTCCTGGTTTGAAATAATAAATTCATTATCATACGAGCAGCGCCCTACACTAAAGATGTCACTTGTTTTGTTCTTAGTAGTTAACCTACTGTATTAGCACATTGCACTTTTAAGCACCTATTGATTTCTAAATAAAAGGAAGGTGCTAAAATGTCAGTTGTAAGTGGGGCTTTATTAAAAATAAATAACCCCCTTATTGAGTCAAATTGTGGGAGTGAGGCTGGATGAGGACTGTGTGTGTCCCGCTGAGCCCAGTCTGTCTGTCCTGAAAGGTCTGCTCTCCTCTGGCCTCTGCGGACACTTTGAAGTCAGCCACAGACCCAAATGAACACAGTACTAATATTTGACCCGCTCCAACACTCTCCCTTTCTTCTCTCCCTACTCTAGGAAGCAAATATGACTGATGTGTCTTTGTAGTGAAGTGGGCAAATATTTTAAAATCTGTCTAAATATGTTGCTAAATGTGTTTGAAGTGAGAGAGGGAAGCAGGAGAGATTTTAAACAGTTTAGAAATAGATGAGTCAACTTCATGATGACTAAGTAATGTAATATTCACCATAACCATCCTGGTCTCTCACAGACCTGCTCCAACAGTGCCTACCCACATTCAACCAGACAAAAAAAAAAATCACTTAAGTATGTAAAAACTCCACTCCCCACCTTTCTGAGCTACTGCAGCCAAAAAGCCAAAGTCCTGGTGAACCCCAGGGTGTAGTGAGGGGGGTTATGGGGCTAAGCCGCAGCTGTCCATCACAGAGTCAGAGTCCCGCCCCCCTCATTAAGAAGGTAAACAATAAAGAGAGCCGATGAGAGACGTGACCAGGCAACACCAGCGCTGGGTAACCAGACACACAGGAACAACAAAACACCCTGCAGCCCTGCACAAGTCCCGCCCCCCAGGGCAAAAAGTCCCTCCCACCAAAAAAGACCGAAGGGTATAGAGGCCCCGCCCCTGAGCACATAGTAAGGTTAAAGAGGGGAGACTTGGAGGCAGAACGTACAATCCCGTTGGATTAGCCCCCTTTCCTCTCTCTATCGGGGCGACAGGATCGTGCTCAGACAGTGGGCGCGTATTCAGATAACCCTGGCCATGCACGCAGATGGTAACCATGTGAGTGTGCAACCGCCACACAAGAATGCACTGGTTCAAATCCCCATGAACCCCTCCCCACGGCCTCTGCGCACAATTGTATTCAACAGACACCAAAGTGCTGCAAAGCCACGTTTTCAGGGAGCAATGAGAGAGAACGAGGCCGACCAATCAGAGCGCTGCCCTGCTCCACACTTCTGTTTACAGTCAAACAGGAAGGAGCGTCACGTTGTTCTCAAGACTTAGACGTGAAAGAATGATATGAATCAAAATACAAACTTAGACTGACGCCTCCCTTGTTTTTCCTCTAGCTGATTTATCCTGTTCTGTAGGTTCCAAAATCCTTTTTTGGCTGATATCCAAATGAAGGCAAGAGGCAAAAAGTGTCACCAGAGGGGAGGAAAGTCAAAGAGATAAAGTAGCAGACAAAATGAGCTACCAGGGGAAAACTCACTGATTTAGAGAATTTTGTGTTAACAATACTAACTGTACTACACCCATAAGAATTGTAATTGGTAAGTATATAACACTCTAGAATATTTAACTAACTAATGCACTGAAAAAGGATAAATCCAACCAACTTGACTTTTATTCTCACTGTGTGCACCTCAAATGAGTATCACTGAAAATCCAGCACAAACAACCTCACAAAATAAACTAAATTAACGAGGGGAGTTCAGCGGCCTGTGGAAGCAACACTACTTGTTATCGGCTGTTCCAGTCAACTAGCGCTCCTGAAAGAGTTGGCGACATCATCAAAAGTGGCGGGTGTGATAGGATTCCTCGGTGAACCTAATCAATCAGGGTCTGTAGCGCTTTGCCCCGATGTGTTACAAAGCCCAAATAGATTTACAAATGCGCTGTGTGTTTGGAGGTGGGAGTGTTGCTGGTGGGAGGGGTGTGGGGAGGGATAAGCTCCTGCATAGGATTACATATTGATTTTAAACATATAAAAAAGCTTATCATATCAAACCGTAACAGGAAAAACTCAGGGACCCGGCTATGCATAAATCCCTTTTAGATGGCAGGAGGGCGTCCACTTTAAAACATGCAAGCACACAGCCCACCAGCGGACCCCGACACCAGCGCAGATACATAGGTGAGAATCAGTAAGCAGATAAAGAGGCCATAGTGGATCCATTTTGTGGCAGCGAGAGGAGCGGGGCATACACATGGCACCTGGCATCGCCCCAATGATGCATATGCAGGCGGATTTTACTGGGCATGCTCAAGAAATCTACTGAGGATTCAAAATTAACTGAATTCCTTTTCTGAAATCTTTAAGGATCAATGCAAGTCATCTGCTCCCATTATACTGAGATTTACTTATTGATCGGTACATGTTTTTTTCTGTTGCCATAGTATCTTCCTATTTATCCAGGCATGGGACTGGCAAAGAAACAAATATCCATGAGTCTCGGAAATATGAAAATTTAGGATTATTGCCATACTGTTGTAATTACCAGTTCAATACTATATCTTTTGAACGATCATCTGTCCTCAAAATGGCATAAAGACTAAAGAAGAAGAATTTGAGGTGAGCACTCAACAAGTCCCTGCTTCAGCCCATAGGAAATGGAATACTTGTACGCAGAAGTGTGACCTAGTAGACTATTTAAGGATGATGCAACTAAATTAGTCACAGTGTGCTTAACCCCAGGGCCAGAGATGGGTAAGATTTCAGACGCTTCCACAGACGGATCATTTGTCTCACCTTCTGCTCTCATTGTCTGTACTTCTATTTTGTGTTGTGCATTGCCTTTTCATTCTAAATTTGCCCCCAACTAAACATGTTATGGCTGAAACTTCTGTGATTATTATTATTATTATTATTCATATATAGTCAAAGGGACAGTTTCAGGTGTTTATCATATTTTCATGTGATAAAGTAAAATTTGTTTTGGCCCAGTACTGACATATTGTAAAAGCTCTTGCATGCATCTAATTATAAAATGTTCTTATTGCCTTCAAACCGGGAAGTAAGGTTGGCGCGCTGTTAGCATACTAGTTGTCAGCAGTGGGGTGATTGCAAAACTCCACTCTAGCCTCAGAAAGTAGTGAAACGCACTTAGAAACTTGCAGTCAATAATCAGGTTGCAAATGCATTAAGGAAGTGAGAAATAGTTGTTTTTCATGGTTTTAAGATGGTAAAAATCATCAGTGCTTTTAACAGTAGAAGTTCACAATTTTCTCAGTTCTTCTGTAATGTATTTGAAGTGAAACAAGAAACTATGCAGGTGGGCTTCATAACAAAAGTAACCCTCACATAAATCCTGTTATATTTTTTGGGAAGAATGGGGCATTTTTAAAGGGCCCACATTACGCTATTCTCCCAATCTATGTTATCATTTTGTTTCCCCATCACAGACAGACCTGGAGTAGCGTTGTGTTTCACTCACATATTTAACACAGAAATCCTGCATTTTTACACTGAGTTCTTCTCTCAGATAGAAAACACTCTGTCCCACCTTGTGATGTCATGCAGTAATACAGTAAGTGCTCCATTACATTTTAAAAGCCATACACCTTCCCTAGAATCCAGTCTCTACTGAAAACTACTGCTTCCAGCATTTTGAGCTTTAGAGATGTAGACAAATAAGTAATGCAGGATTAAAAAAACGTGTGAATGAAACAAAATACAGATATGTTTTTGATGACGGCACTACATTATAACATGGTTTAAAGAGTACAGTTTGTGTAATATAGGACTTTTAATATGCAACTTGGAGGATGCATTTTAAACCATAAAATGTAAGTGATAGAAGAATTATTTGGTATGACTAAATCTCTGATTCACTAGTATTAGTAATCTTACTTGGTATCCAGCTACTAAGTTGATTTTTCATCATTAAAAGCGAGTCCTAATTATAGATAATTATAGGCGTAGTGTATCCTGACAGTGAACCTTTACAATGGTAATGTAGTCTATACATGTTTTACAGTAGGTGTTTCCAACAGTTGAAACTTGAAGCTCCTCCTTTGTTTCTGTCTGAATTTACCGGTCAGACACACCATGGGACTCCAGGTTTTCTCAAATGACGATTTCAAGAACAAAATAAAAGAGGGACATTTTAACACTGAACAACAAATAGGAAGTGTTCAAAGACAGGTGCAGGGCCACTCTCCTCTGCAGCCTGCTCCTATCTGTAGCTGCTACAGAAAGCTGGAGCAGGTGAATGTTAAGTGCTTTCCTTGGGGGGAACGAAGGCCAGCTGATAAGTTAGACAGCGGCAAATCCAACAAGTCCACATGAAGGAGGAGAGGAGAGAGGTGACACCACACAGCACCATCACACCTTCACTCTACAATTCTTTCTACTTGTACAGAACAGGGCTTTCATTTTTGTCAACAAAAGCGAATGATGAAAAAGTAGACATAAATTAAAAAAAAAAAAAAATCTCATTTTCTAGGTAAATACGTATTCCAGATCTCCTTGAATGAAGTTGTAATCTTTGTCTTGTACTTCAAAATGGTACAAAATACATTCAGCTGCAGAAAGGAATAGAATAAATTATCGCATTTGGAGAGAAAAGTGAAAATGCACGATGACAAGGAGACCCATGAAGCAGAAAACGTAAAACCCTTTGACTGCAGCTGCAACTCAATAAAAATAAATAAATAAAACGGCCCAGCGAAGACAGAGGCAAATCAGTAGCGCCAAGACTGGTACGCATGCCTGCTCCTCCGCCCGCCCCCGCCCTTCTTGCTAATTACAATTGATTTATTATGGACCAGGTAGCTTATCAGGTGCCCAGCGTAATTACAATGGGTGTCCGAAGGCTGTATGCAGAGGGGGGGCTTGGGGAAAGGGGTTGGCGGTGGTCAATGTCGAATGGCAAAATCAATTAGCATTGATTTGGCAAAAGGTTCATTTTGCCAAAGAGGACGGCGTCGAAGGGGATTAAACTTCCCTGGCCCCCTGACAACTTTGATGCGACACAATGGCTGCATTTCAGGCTGCGCTGCAGTTAACAAGCTTTCAATAATTTACCTGCATTTGGATGTTTTAAACCCCACGCGCAGTCTTTGCTCTGCGCTGCTGTGGCTAATTTTCAATTCAGGCTTCAGCTAACCATGTCTAGGTAGGAAACAGATAGCATTGATCAAATATCAACGAGTGAAATCCCTGGCAAGCGCACATCTTAATCCTCATCAAGAAGTCAACCTAGAATTTAAATAACCCAGCTTTAGGCGCAAAATGCAGTTCTGGACAATATACAAAATGGAACTCAAACATGTTTGCATCTTGAGTTCTTTACTATAAAATTACCAGTAAAATGTTTGGTCTAATTTAATGAAAAACAGTTTTGAAAAGTAAAAGAGTTGCTATAGTTGCTCTGATTAAATAATGTGACAGCCTGAACCTTGTTAAGTTTCTCTGTCAGCATGTTGTCAGATTATTGGTTTGCTTTTATTTCCAGTGACTGACGCTAATCCTTGGCTCCTGCATTGTACAGAATTTAATTTAAGTGGCGCTACCTGGTTTTGCAAATGGCATTAATGGATAAAAGTTGAGAATTGCGAGTGTCTGACACCTGGCGGCTCTCATTACAGCAGTGTGGAGGTGTGTCTTACCCTCTATGGCCAGCATGGCTCTGAGCTCCCTGTTCAGCAGCTCAAAGCGCCTCTCCAGATCATGCTCTTTCTCCCTGTGGCAAGAGTTGAAGAGAGGAAAAACACAGGCAGTGAGCGACAACAAACTTCATCAATATGTTAATGACTAAATCATTAAGCACTTAAAGAAACCCACAATAAACATTGATTCTGTTAGTCTCCTGGACCTGCACTGGCTTCACATTAATCTACTGCACATAGCTGATACACACCGTGGAGTGGATAGAGCCCTGGGTTAAAATCAGGAAACATTTAAATACATTCAGACTGGCTGCACTGGTCAGATCACATCAAGTTGTAATAGACAAAGTATATAAAGTGTTGTGAAGCACTGGTTGTAGATGGGATCATTATGAAAACTGATCAAGCCATTTTCAAATAAAATAACACATGAACAATATTATTTCTGCAGAACCCTTTTTTCAAATTTCTGGCACACAGTTTTTCTTTGTGGCTTTACACACCAAAAATACTAATGAAAAAAGATCTGACAGTCGAGTATCTCTCATTGTCCAGGATCAGTGGTACATGTGGAGCAATGAGCAGTGAAAACCCTGTTCAATTCAAATAAAAGGTAGCGAATGTAAAGAAAGTGAAGCCGATGTGACCTTTACCAGAGTGTGTGATTGTGTGTGCGTTCATGGATCTCTCTGGTTTATGCGTATGGTGCACAAATTAAATTCCTGCCTCTTTCAGACATATTATAAAATGAGCTCATTTGGCCCTTAATAGAATTTGTCCTTCACAGACGCCTTTTCTCTTCGCCTCCACAAAGAGAGAACTGAAAGGGCTCATAATCAGGCCCTCTGTCAATTGGCCACTTTAAAAGGCTCCCCTTTCCCACGATGTAATGTGATTATGAATACTTCAGTCTCTGCTCCACTCAGATCTCAAATGAAGAAGTGTGTGTGTGTGTCTCACCTGCCACAGCTGACCACATACAAAGAGACTGCCTATAGAGTCATGATCGCTACATTTCTATTGATTTCATATCCGATCCACATGTCAATCAATGAGTACATCGACACAGGGGGTGAAGAGAGCACAGGAACGTACACTACTGTGGTCCGATTCAACACGTCTCATGTTGTTTATGAATCTCGTATCTAAACTGGAATTAGCAAGAACGCATCAAGAATAGCAATATCAATACAGAATTTTACCACTCGGGGCAGAACTCTTTTAGATCTCTTAACCTGGTTCTAACTGTGTCAAAGTAGGTACTAAAATGTCAACAGACTCCAGGGTACTGATATGTTAAAAACGTCATTGTAAGGACACTTCAACAAGCTTCTAACATCAATGATTTCTGTAGTTTTTTGTGATTAATGTTTTTTTTTCCAAATATGCAGGTTTAGTCATGGCATATAGCAAAGACTACTTTCTCCTATACTTCATGGTCTAACCACTTGGAACAGGCTCCTATGTGAAATCTGAAATTTCATGCTCACAGTTACATTTGTCATCAGTCACATGTAACGCATTTTTTAAAGTTCAAGTTTCGAACCCTGATAACTGGAACACAGCATATTGTTCAGCATACTGACTATAGTAAAATGTGAATAGAAAATATATAATGTTAAGGGGACTGATGTCAAATGGTGAAATACATACAGCAAGGAGAGCTGGTTTTGTCTCCGGATGAGCGCGTTCTTCTTATTGACCAACATAAACCACTCCTGCATCATGGACTCCTCCTCCTCTTTGTTGTTGCCTGAAAAAACAGAGAAAAAGCAGTTAGCTCCAATGTCATCATACAAGCACAATCACTGATTGCTCTTTTAAGGTTAATGTAAATCAGACAAACAGCAATTATGAAAACAAACCTAGAGAGGCCATAGCAATAATGACCTAAATACCGCTAATAAACAGCTCAGTGTTCTCTTAGCCCACCGCAACGGCTCACTTAAGTGTTTATGTTCGCTGTGTAAACATTCATGCTTCACAACACGACTTCACAACGTCAATATGGCTTCAACCGGGCTGGGATTAACTCCGCGATTACAGTCAAGCCTCTCAGTGTCGGCCAATACATATCCAGCAATAACTCAGCAGGCCTCCAGAACAGACCTAACACAGCTCCTCCAGTCTCCCGTGCTTACAGTAATACCTGCCCAGCCCACGGTGAGTTAGCAAGCCTTCGATGCATGGCTAATATAAGCCTGGCCTTCGCCCGCGGCTAAAGCACTAGCTCTAAGTCACAGGCTTCAGTGGGATACACACAGCTGATACTGGCACTACACAGCAACCAGACAGAGATAAATGTTAGCATTAGCAGGATCATAGCGGCTACAGTGGAGACCATGGGATAAGCTACTAATCTTACAAATATGATTATCACTAAGAGGAACAATTATAGCAGGCTTTGGTTTCTTAACTTAAATTAGTTATTTGTTTAACGTATTACGGCAACAATCCGGTAGATACATAAATAGATAAAGCTCCTCTCATTTTCATTCAAACAACTAAAGGTAATTTGATTCATTACCTCCTCTCACATGTGGCTGAGAGGAACCAAAAATACTCATTATTATTCTTTTTATTGTTATTTATTGTCATATTATTATTTGATTTTGCAAACCTATAGCTGTACATTCTGAACAACAAAATGTCAACAGTTTACTAAATGGGTGGTCATTTCAGTTGGGACATGAGCTGGGGCTGTGGCTGCTTTATCAGTAAAAGCAGCGTTCGAGCTCTCCACATCTGTGAGCGATAAAATGGGAAAACAGAGATCAAAGATCATTTTATACGAGCTTTTGTATTTTATCTGCAGCTTTCTCACCTTCTCTAGAGACATGGCTTTGTCACTATGGCAACCATTTAAACTAAATAGTTGTAGATTTTTTTGCACTTATATAAAGTTGTAACATAACAGGTAGGTTAATAGGGCAGCATGGTTTTGGGGAAAAAAAGTATTGTGATTAAATTTGCTTTTCAAAATAAGTCAGATTCTAAAAAAATGTAAAATAGAAGGTACACGTTACAAACAACTCTGGAAGCCTTAAGATTGAAAAGACAGAAATACGCAAGTACAGCTAATGCAAGAAGTCTAACAATTGAACCAACTCAAACTGAAATTTCAATCTGATATTGATACAGTATATTGTTAAGCGCTATTGGTTAGTATATCATTATATTTTTATTTGGTATTTTTTATAGTGTTGCCGGTGATGAAAGGCAGAGAATGTGTGTGGACACTGGAGATACTCTGAGCCAGCAGATGTATGTAATTTCATTTAGGAGGATGGAGGAGAGGGGCGGGAGGGAAAGAGGAAAAAGTGCGAATGAAAGAAAGCTCCAGGATTTAGCAGAAATCGGGGGCTCGTGGATTACTGTAGTCAACTTTGAAACGGACGACACTCGGAGGGGGGATAAAGCCGCCACTGACAGGTCATTGTGTTGCCTCGAAGTCAAATAAAACAAGCAAATAATAATGGCAAATATTAAGCTCCTGTGACATTGTGGTGAGGCAGGCTGGAGACGAAAGGGGGATTATAAAGCTATATCCCCCACCGCTCGGCAGCCACCAGCCAACCACCGCTCCCATTTTGTGAAAAGGAAGAAGGGGAAAGGCTGAGGAGAGGAAGGAGGAGAAGAGGTCAGAGGAAAGGTAGGGGGAAGGACAGACGGGACGAGGGGGAGGCAGGTGAGTGGAGCAAAGAAGAGAAGATGCACGACAGCTGCTCCTCCTCACTCTGCCTCTTCAGAGCTGACCTGTGACCCTCCCACTCTACCTGACTCTTAAAGAGACATACACAAGTATTTAGTGAGGAGTGTTCCACACAGTTACAGCTCATTTAGTTATAAGTGTAATATAATGAACTATGAATGGAGCACTTGGAGTCAATATTCAACAACAAGTTTTGAGTAATATTTCAACCATTTTTAAGAATTCCGAAACCACCAAAATATATTAGAAAAAAAAACAATGAAGAAAAAATGTCAATTGATTCCCATGGGGTGACAATTTGTGATCAAAACAATACAACAATTAAAAGCCATATGTTAGCATGGGCAGGGAGAGAAAAGTGATGAATGTTGTGCATCATCAAGACAAATGGTGTAAATATCCCTGGCAAACATGGCTGACAGTGTGTTGGTGAAACCAGCCCTGGCTCTGAGACACAGTGGATCCATGCTGGCTCTCAGGGGGCCATATTGGATCAAAGCATCTGGCAGTTTGGCAGGAGGCATTCAGGGTCTTGCTGCTTGCCTCACAGGCCGATTCTATGTGTTCAACACTGAGCAGGGCGCGGAGGAAACAGGCCAAAGTCTACGGAGACTGAGAGCACCAAATTTGGCACCGCTACAATGTTTGATCATGACATCAAAGCATTAGGAGAAATGTGTCTGTGCTGGATACACTGAGTGTCCCATTCCTGCAAGACGCGTTATCGTCATTAATATCACATTTGCTGCTTCTCTGTTATCAATGTGTCGACAATGGAGAGAAACGCACAAAAGATACAATCAATCCGACACATAGGCACACAGTGGCTCTGGCAAGATACAACTGATACACACATCGCGACAACTGCTCTATCTGATTGCCTGTCTGCGTGCTCTTGTTTCACTCTCTCTGTCTCACATACAGACATGACCGGATTCAGTGACACAGGCCCACATTATACCCACACGTCAGGAGAAAAGCCTGCTTAACATGGCCGATTGTTTGGATTGAAGGAAATCAAAATAACACAAAGGAAGAAAAAGCTGCAGTGAAAAGAGAACTGGAATGAGCTTCAATGGCCAAATAAGATTAAGATAGTCATCTCGCCCACTTTTACTCTTCGTTCAGAGAGAAATAATGAAACCGTCCCTGAGGTGGACAGACCAATGCAGATGGAGGTGACCGAATGACTTTAATTTCTGTTATAAAATGTGTCTTAAAGAAAAACAAGGATTTATTAATTAAATTAGAGCTGACAGTTTTAAGTTCAGATTCTATCTCATCTCTACCACGGACCCCTCTGTACGAAGAATCCAGCAAATACTAGATTTAATAAACCACAAGAAATCCATCAGCATCCAGTGCATGTGTGGACCCAAGCCTGGATAAGAAATATTGTGTCAGGGAGAGCATTCAATAAGTATAAACCTGATGATATGTTATTATTAAAAAACAAGACGTATAAACATAAATTGACGCCTGAACGAAAAATAACTTGTACAAGACATCAAGGCTTGACACTAACAATTGCAAATGCACATTGAGACAGACAACAATAAGAGACCAGAGCTCGTACATCTCATTTCTTATCCCACCATTTTGTCATTTAATCCAATAGCTGTTAATCCAATTTATCTATTGGACATGTAAAAGAGCGGGGAGGTGGAGAAGTGAGTGAAGGAGGAGGAGAGCGAGGGAGGAGACCCTGAACTTCTCTTGTGTGTCGAAGTCTCTGTGTTTTATTTCGGGACGCTCCGCACTCGTCTGTCTCTCCCATGGCTGGCTTCATCCGAGCACTGCGTCTTCTGATATCAGCGGGGATCAGGCAGATGAAAGCCACAGATCCATGAAAGGCAACGGCGAGAGGAGGAATAAAAAGAACAGGATGAACATTGTTTCCTGTGATTAGGTAAGAGCTCGTTAAAAGGCTGTCACTGCGGAGACGTGAATATGCATGACAGGGGCCGGCCTAATCAGAGAGGACGACCAGAGGGGGCGAATTGTGCGTAAGTAGCCGAGTGAAGTCTTGATTTAATTAATGTGAGTACAGGCCTGTCTTATTAGGGGAAGAGAGAGATGCCTGTATGCAAGGGAACAAACAGGCCCTGAGAAATCATATTAAAAGTAAAGCAGCAACTTAAAGGAGATTAATAAAGGAAGTTTATGTGAAACTTTGATCAAATAAAAATGTCTAACTTAAAAATGTCTATAAGCAGCACCAATCATTTTGAACTTTAAAATGTCGCGAACAATTGCCTAAAATAAAATTACAAGCAGCGATTTAACAGTCAAAATTACAACAGTGGCTGTGTAAGAATCAGGCCAAACTCACCCACTGCATACATGTGATTCCTCCTGCCCGCTCCCTTTCTATTGGCCTCTCTACTGGAGTGGCGCTGAGGGCTAGTTCTCCATGGAGGCTTGTTCGAGGCCTTTTTAGTCATCCTCAATGGCACAATAGTCCAGGCATATAGAGCAGATTCCTGCTTTATTGAACCTGTGTATAATGTCTGCTGAATGGAGCACATTAACCGACTCACTCTCACCTCCCCCCGGAAATGTAAAATACAAAAAAAAAAAAGAAAAATGAGAAAAAATCGCCCTCCTTACACTGCGGCACAATAGCTGCCTTTTCCACCGGTGTCATTTGTCAACCACTGCTTGCTTTGCGGTGCACAATGGAGGAAGTGGAGGAGCAGAGGAGCGGTCTGTGTGTGGTTGAGGGTTTGGGGGCAAAGGGGTGAATTGACTCTTTAAAATCATAAGTAGCACTGTATAATTATTTCAGTCTAGTTTCTACTCTGCAGTTATCCGCTTCAGAGCCGAAGCCCAGCAGCAGCAGGTGTGGCCATTCACATGCAGTGATCAACAGTCCAATCAATAACACATCAATTATTCAGCACATGACAGGTGTCTTTTGCACTCATCAATACAGTGACAAGGCAGGCAACATGTGCGTGGCCCCAAACACATGATTTTTTAAAACACAATTTAATGTGGCTAAATATGTTTTTTAAGTATCTTTTTCCCACAGCTTAATT